TGTAAAATGGTACTTATAGAAGTCGTGTTTTCCAACAGGATGTGAAACACAGAGGATTGTGTGATGTATGACATATATCCAAAAATAAGCTTAAATGAGCCTAACATCACAAAAGGAGGGAGGGTGGAGTTACTGACCAGCAAGCATTGATGGTGAGGGCGATGACTTCAATCCACCCGTGTTTGTGGGGCAGAACATTTTGTATGTATCAGGCTCTTTATGATTGAGAATAAGTCAATCAATCTGTGATATATATTGTCTTCCTACGATCACCACTCAGACTCATGTTTCCAATTTTATGTTGGATTAACTATTCTACTAAGACAACTGGTAGGACTCTAATTTATGGACGAGCCAATCAGAAGCGTCTGAGGAATTTCAAGATCACGGCGCTAAGTTCGTTAAGAAATGCTCACATTCGATCGTTTTACAGCAGATTTTAGAGAAGAGGTGATTGTTGAGTGACTACAACAGATGAGACTATTAAGAAGTTCCTGTGTATGTGACTGCGGCACTCGAATGACTGGAGCACGATGTGCAGACTACCGTGATGACGTTGTATTTCGTTGTACTATGTGTTGGGGAAAAAAATCTGCTCGAACTGGTACTTTTTTTGCGAGATCACGGCTCAGACTAAGACAAATCATGATAATTGTGGCAAATTGGATCTTAAAGTCTCTAGTAACATTAGCTGCGGCTTTTTGCAGATGTCACGTAAACTTCCGCCGTTCAGTGGTATGAATATTGCCGTGATGTATGCGCAATGAAAATGACACAAGTACATGAATGATTTGGGGGAGTTGGAAAGATAGTGGAAATAGATGAGACAGTAGTTAGAAAGCGAAAATACAACAAAGGACGTTTTATCAAGGAAGATTGGGTAAGTAGCACTTCAGTGAATATACTTGACAGGTACTTGGATTTCACGATCGTTCAACTCAAAAGGGACATTTTCAAAGAGTGAGAAACCGTAAGGTTACGACAATAATACCAATCATCAAGGAGTACGTTCAGCCTGGCATCACGATCTATACCGATGATTGGAAAGCGTATAGATGCCTCTCGAGACTTGGTTTTGTGCATCATGTTGCAATGCACAAACGTCATTTTGTCGATCCAATGACGGGGATTCATACAAACAATATTGAAGGCATGTGGTCTAGGCTGGAGTATTTTTTAAAACCCTACCACGTCTCCAGAGGACGATTATTATGGAGCCATATGGACGAGTTCCTATACCGCATGCATTATGATTTCAAAACTTCTGAATCTTTATCAAACCTTAACAAGTTCCTAAATCATGTGAAAGAAGAATATCCATTTTAATTCATCAGTTTTTTGTAATATATTTTTACTTTATTCTAACTTTCTTCTGATTGTCTAATGTTTTCAAGATCACTTAAACATGCGTTCAAAGGTTCGTCCGTAAAATAAAGTTTCACCAGACAACCTATAACATGCTAACTCGGACTTATACACTACGATTGTGTGGCTGGCATCGGATAGACAGAAAAGAAGGAAGAAGTCAGTCAATAAAAGATATTGTTATTATTATTTTCAACACTTCACCCTCCCTATGCATACTCCCTTCTAATAAACAGCTTCCCTGTACCAACCTTAACTTCCTTTCCTTCATATGAGCTTACTCCAACTTGTTAAACATCAAAATTCTTTGTTCTTTATTACTACATTCTCTTAAATGGAGCCTCTGACTTCATTTCACTCTAACAAGAGATAATATGAATTTAATCTAATTTATTATACCTCTGTCTGTTGTACTACGTAATGTTAAGCAACATTTAGTGTCCATATCCAAGTACCTTGCTGCTCTGCTGATTCTCTTTTTTATTTTCTTCTTCAGAATCTTGCTCTGAGGGCACAGCTATGAAACTTCTGAAGTCTGGAACAAACTTGAAGTATGCGTCAACTCAAGGTCATGGTTTATAACAAGCGCTCTACGAGTCTACTTTATAACAACTATAAACTTAATAAGTTGGGAAGCATGCTGTGCTCCAACAAATGTTGTAATTTGCAGATCATGTCTGTAAAAATGGCGTGTACCTGCTCATACAGAAATATATTATTATTATTATTGTAAAAAGCAATGGACCCAAGACACTACCCTGCACAACACCACTGGTTATTAGTCGAGGTGTAGATGTTGTAGAGTCAATCTTGGTCATTTCGAATCTGTTCGTAAGAAAAGACTTGATACATTGCAAAAGGGGGTTTATAATTTCAACTGAATTAAGTCTGTTGATTAGAAGATGATGAGGTACTTTATCAAAGACTTTCTTAATATCGAAATATAATATAACCACTAGTTTCTTTTGATCACGTATGCGAGTAACCTCGTTAAAGAAGTCTATCAGACATGTACTGCACCACCTTGTTCTAATGAAGCCGTGTTGTGACGGGCCTATTAGATTTTCCTTCAGTAGGTGATCAGATAGTTGATTTTTTATCACTTTTTCCATTATGCGTGATATAACTGGAGTGATATTTATGGGTCTGTAGTTTTCGACCAGGTTTCTCGGTCCAGATTTGTGTTTTGGAAGAACATACGTTTCCTTCCAGGTTTTCGGATATGTGCCTGTCTCTAAGGATAATGTGTATATTTTGAGTAATAGCGTTTCAATGTTCATTCCTGACGTATTGTTTCGTGAAGTGGTGAGACTGTCATTGAAATGAGGCATTCTATTCTCCAGCTGATTGAAATAACGTTCTCACCATCCTATATGGAGGCTGGAAATCATAAGGCACTTATTGCCAAGAGATGCCGGCTGCCAACTGTAATATATATAATCTCGATGAGTCATATGATGCAGGGATCCAATGCTAATGCAAATTAGAGCTGACCATTTCACTCGTGGATTGTCAAGTTTATGAAAAAGACAGGAAAAACGGAGGTTACTAACTCGGTATATCCTGTGCAACTAAGATACCTGTTCATTCACACAAGGCCTATACAGGTAAAAAAGTTAAGGAAGCTTGTATTGGCATTGGGCCCTACCACGAAATAATATAGGTGATAGACATTCAACATTTAACGCGGAGAAATACAGAAGAATGGAGAAGGCGGGGATAATGAATTGAAGAAATTGGTGTTGTTCGAATGGCATGGTTCGGCCATGCAGACGTGGTCCCTACTGAGTGTTATCTTATATCTTTTATTCATATTAAATATACTGTTCTATCTCTAGCCTAAGCTTGTTCTCCATCATCTTGGTAATTGTTACGATACAGTAAGTTGGTGTACACGATGATATGACTTCCACATAAGATCTTATAGATTAGGCAGTTACATCATAACGAATCTACAATTTTGGGATTAGGTCTATTATTAGAGCAGTACTAATATCATCTAGACCCATTAATACTACAAGCTCACGCATTTCTAAACTTAAGGCATAATCTGCTTACTTATGAACACTGCGAGTTTACCCAATAAAATGGATGAGCCGCGTGATCTCAGCAATGATAGTAATACTCATCTGGTGGGAATATCTTAAACATGGATATCATCTTAATTTGCGAAACAGGGGCTAGTAATACTCGGGATGAAGCTGTTTGCAACGACAGGAAAACTGGAAGGGTGGCGGGGTGGCCTTGTACCTGTGATCTTACTTGGAGGTACATCATGTGCACAACCAACAGTTTATCAGACTTGATGAATCCTCATGGTGATCAGTAAGATTGTCTAATACCTCGAGGTGTCTAATTGTAGTCATCTAGAGGAGGCCCACTGAAGACACTGGGTACGACAATCGTATACCGGACGGATTTTCCCGCTCTACTGGTTCTCGATTCACTCATATCTTGATTCTAGGAGACTTCAATTTACATAAAGCCGATTTCGCGGAGCATACGTACATTGGGGGTGAAAACTCTACTGAAGCTTGGTTCTTCAACTTCACCGAAGATTTATGACTACTCTAAGTTGTCAAGTTAGCAACCTATTGGAGAAGCACTCGGACGCCATAGCTCTTAGACAACGTGTTTACAAACGAAAAACTTCCAACTGACAACCTCTCAATCCTGGCTCTTCTAGAGAAAAGTGATCACACCGACATAGCCTTCAGTTATATTGGCAAAACTGAGCTAAAATATCTTACCAAAAACAGGTATTGGATGTGTCAGTTTCATGCGTCGGCTCTACAGGACAATCTGCAGCAGGAGGACTAGTGGGTTCACCAGCAGCTTGATGGTGATGCTCAGTGGACTTTCTTACAGCAAACGATCTTATGTGCTACAAAGCAGTCCGTTCCGCAAACCGTCCCTAAATCTACAAGTAACCTATATTTATCAAGTATCGCGCTCTTTGTTTGCTGAGCCGCAATAGGCACTACAGGGCAGAACGCAAACGAGCAGGTAACAACAACGCATACAGGCAGTTAAAACATGTAAGGAGCACATTCACAACGGCAGGCTCCAATACCAAATAAATCTTATCGATAAATTTATCTTCAATCCGAAAAATTTACTTCGTCATGCAGACTCTCTTGCACAAGCCAAAACCGGAGTTTCTTAATCACTAGAACCTAATAGTTCAACCCGGATATGGTCCATTCTGATATACCGAGGGAAACAGCTTCAATCTTAGCAAAACCGCTTAGAGTGACGTTCTCAAATTCGCTTAACCAAGTCACATTACTAGAAAACTGTAAGCTGGCTCACATCATGCCGGTTTTCGAAAGGGTTTGACGCAAAACATTTCCACGTTACCGACAGGTATCATTTCTTTCTATACATTCAAAAATTATGGAGTTCTGGTATGCGACTGTCTACACGACACGATGAGTCATATGATGAAAAACGAATAATCTTTCGAAGTGTACAATGGTCCGAAGTCAACATACACACAAGGTCCAGTCTAGATTTAGCAGTAGAATAAGGCACAGAGAGTACGATGCAATTAGTGCGTAGCAGTCACAACAAAAGTTATCTAATCAATCTAAAAATATGAATTGTACAGTCGATGAATTTAAACAATATATCAAGAAAAATTGTGTGTTTGCTAATACTGTATCACGGAAACAAGTGAAGATAAATTTTTATTAAGGTCTTACAAACAATTACAGCCTTTGTTCTTCATAACCTTAAATTCGAAACTGGTATCCAAGATACGTTACTGCTGCCTAATTAAAGCTGGGTCGTTGAATGACTTCTGAAGACTACACAATGACCAAGTTCGAAGACTATTATTCGTTAATCGAAGGTTTGGGAAGGTACAAGCTAATCTAAATTACCGTTTAAACATTTATAGAAAACCCATTCAACCACAGTATGCTGTTTAGTCTTAGATAATTTGCTTTTCTTCACTCTTTTTAAAATAATGAAACTTTCTACAGATATAGTGGTACTTTTGTTGCGTTATGCATGGAACGCAGGACAAAAGTGTTGTATGCTGTTAAAGTGATACAAAAGAAGGTTACAAAACTTGATTGTCTTAACATTAAACAGTTGACTTCTCCTGGGAAGAAAAATATAGGTCATTTGTTGAAGCTTGATCATCAAAATGTGGTAGGTGTCTTTAATGAATTTTAAGCAAGGTTTTAGGCAAAGTTGAAAGAAGTATTTGAAACATCTTTCTCATTGCATATAGTTGTTGAATTTGCAAATGGTGAAGAACTCTTCCGGAGGTATTTAATTTTTCAAGGAGCTCTATTTAATCTCGATATTTCTTTTATGTGGAGCTCCTAATTGGATTACAAATGAACTTAATCCAAATATCTTCCAGCTATCATTTATCTCATATTCTTTATATAATGAATTTCAGAATATGATCATTAAAACTCTAAACTATTGTCAGAAAAACGAACACCAGCATTGGAGCAATTATATTTATATTGCTTTAAACTTGTGACTGATTTAGTAGAATATGTTGCATGGCTTCCTAAGCCAGGATAAAACAGTATTGTTGGCAGATATTGTAGCTAATGATATCAACCTATCACAAACCACTTTCTTACCACAGTGATTTCTATGTGTGGATTTTGAGTCGTTATACTCCAAAGCTAACCTGTTCATTTGTAATGCCTGTCCGTCAAAAGGGTTGCAGATTAAGATTCAATATTAGGTATATGTGTTGGGTCGGAAGAACGACAATCTGTTTTGGTCGTTTTCTAACGAGCTTCTGTGGTTATTTAGCCCTTTTTTGAACATATCAATTGAAGGTGAGAGCGCCGCTTCTTCTGGTAGTACACTTTAAGAGTTGACGACTTGGTCTGAAAACTTTTATGATACCTGTATTTTACTGGTCCTTGGTTTTTGGACTCGCCTGAAATATTTCATATGTTATTCTGGTTTATAAGAAAAAAATAAAAAAATATGTTAAGTTCAAAATCATTTACCAGCGTTTTATACATCTAAACCAGATTACCACATTATCCATGGTGAGGCAGAATAAAGAGGGTAACTGTCCAGTTTTAAAATAATTCAACCTGGTTGGTTATGTTCAGCTTCACACGTTATATAACTGTGTGCAACACTATTCGTCTCTTAGCAAGGCTCTATTGATATTCATCATTTAATTTCGATGCTTTGTTTTAAGAGAAATTTACTGTGAATTTTTTAAATAAATTTAACATGAAACTAGTCAGATTTTGATAAAGTGTAATTTAAACATATGACTTCGATGTATACAATATATCTATTAGATCACAAAAAAGTGGAACAATTGTTCATTTAAGTCCTCTAACCTTAGTCCTCATAATTTGTGTATATTTCCGAGGGAAAAACCAGCAGCCAACTACCGAGATTTCAAAAAACGTTGTGGTTAGAAAACATTTTCAGGTACTCTTTGAAGAAATTCTGAATACTTTGTCATTTGACGTTTCTCAATACGTTCAAGAGTTCACAACTATGTCACTCGTGTTGACTAGTAACATCCAGATGATGTTATTCAATTACTTGGTAACAGCAATTTGTGTTTTGCAGGAAAAGACAATGAAATCGATAAGTCGGCATTATTTTATTATTTTTTCATCGGCTGAAGACAGCTTAGAACTAAGAACGACTGCGAGAAAAAAGTAGGTAAAGTAGGTAAAAGAGTAAACCTGTGGGAAACGTCAAAATAAATAGTATACCAGTAAGTTGATCAAATATAGGCATCAATGTGTATGATATGACAGAAGTAAAATAATTAACGACCCGAAATTGTCAGAATAGTGTTTCGCTACTGTCGAAAACCTCTTATTTTCGACCAGGCCTAATGAAAGTATTTACGAACTCTTCATACGGGTTTATGTTTTTTCATTGTCCATATCAGGGACTACATCTGACCTGTCTCTATTGGCACATGTGCATTCTGGATGGATCGTCTTGAGAATATCTCTAGATTATAAGTATTTAGTATGTTTGGACTATGGTCAGGAGTATAAGTAAGGATGTACAATCAGTCCTATTTGAGATTAATCGCTCGATTGTACATGTATGCTAGTGAATCGGTCAACAATCAGATTCACCATTCACTCAGGATGCGAGTAAACTTACGAAGGTTGGTCGATTACAGTCCTCAGTATCAGCATCAACAAAGCGCAAAATCTTGTAAGTAACTCCATGTCCGCTAAACAAGTGGCTGCCTGAACTCAGTATATTTGTGTATGCCGCATTGACTATTCAAGTAGTAGGCAATGCGTTTGAATCCCAATGCAAATAATAACACTTAGTCCTAAATAGAATAAAGTGCGGGTCAACTCTATTAATATTGAAGAGATTAAAATCTCGTCAATGTTTATAACGGATCTTGTGCACTCAAAAACTTTAGTATTCAAACTCATGTTATTTCACCCTTGATAATCTTGGTTGATTTTAACCAGTTATCAACTGTTTTCTTATTCCCTCCATTTAGACTAACTAAATTACCTGTGTATAACGAAAAAACGGTTGTTCATTATTTCAGACAAGTGGTTGATGGTATCAGATACCTACATGAGTATGGAATTATTCACAAAAATTTAAAAGTATGTATAATTGTTTTCTAGGCTACTTAGAGTTTTGCCGCCATATATTCATTGCGACACAAAATAAAATGATCAACTGAGGATTTGAAAACACTAGATTTGATTTGTGCACGATTTGACCAGACGAGTTAGTTTTATAGTAAATGGATGGAAATAGCCAATGCAAGTAGATTATAAGTACGATTAATCCCTTGAATTGTTTTTATATTACAGATATTTAGGCTGGTCACCTATCATTGAAATTGGCATCATTGTTTCATAGTCCGATCGACCATACTAGCATATTTTGTAAATCCACCAAGCGGGGATTTAAGAGGATAAGAGCATTGATAACTCATCTTAATCAGGGATTATTTTTAATTTGAAACTAAGGACAAAATATTTAATGTCATTAGGCGTGTAACCACAAAAATCCACCGAGTGAACAAAATAGAGGTATTTTTCAATTTCATCTATACTAAACGTGTTCGTACTAGTCGAACTTCAATTGTGTTATCATTACTTGAACATCTGACACCAGATGTTTCCTCAATTCTGTTCGATTATGAATCAAATAAATGATTGAATACCGATTATGCTTCATTTGCTGATAGAATTGGTATTATTTTCGAACTGATCTGGTTGAGATGGTAGTGTAGCGTGGTGTCGAGTTGAGCTGAACTATGAACACCGCTACCAGACTACTTGCCAATAGACCAATAAAATTTCGATAGGCCAAAATATCAGAAGGCAAATGATTGTAGTAGTCGTATATATTTGTTGGCGATCTCGTGGTATCGAAAGAATACCGAGATCGTGCCAAAGGAGTACAGTTGCGATCGGCAAGATAAGATACGTGCGTAGTCCAAAAACCGCGTAAAAGCAACGGAATACAATGGAAGCCCAAAATGGCTGTTATTAGCACAGTTAAACAAACGAGCACAGTAAAACAGTCACTGGTACAATTGGTTATAATAATAATTGTTTTCATCGAACCAATCGCGTTCTGTTGACAAAAGTATGTCACTACAGTAGTATGGACTATGTAGACAAAATCTCTCTAAAGATTTCCTAAGCTTCAGTCCACTTGCTTTGTTGAAGTCTTCTGAAGTTACAAAATATGTTAAAGATCATTCACAGAGACTGACCCTGTGTGACAAAACTATTATCATCTCCAGTAGGTAATTCCCAGTAGATTGGTTTGATAATAAGAACAGGTTGAATTGATAACTTGCAGATCGGAAGATAAGTTGGTTTTCTTCCCACAATATTTCAGGTATCAATCAGCAGCTCTAAAAATAAAAGTTAACACCCTACATTTAGCTACGACAAATTATTATTTAGCTGACATACAACTCTGTATAAACTTGTAGTCAGTTAAATTACATTAGATAAATGGTTGAGTGATTACTGCCGATTGGTCTCACAAGATAAAATTGTTGGGAAAATAGATCAAAATGTTTATTAAACCGCTGCCTCTTCGGTAAACAGTTTTGAATGTCAATATACAGTATCAAACGAATAATCGACTTTCGCTTAATATTTTCAAATCAAACCAACCAATATCTTGTACCATCTTCAAATTTCACTGATAATAATTGCCAAAGCTATTAAAAATTCCAGATGAACGAAGTATACGAATATTTCATAAAATATTCTATGAGTTTACAATATTTACGTGTCGACTTGATACACTCTTAAAGTGACATTGGGATGCATGTTACGTGTTACGTATGCCCGACTACCGACTGCAGCGACGAGCAATGTTCTGTGGTGTTGGAATAGGGTGGAAGAAAGTTCGGGGCGGCCAGACCAAAACATGGCACAAATTCATGAAGTTATGGCGCAGGTGCATCCACTCTTTGTGTTCTCCCAAATCCTAATATTCCGAATTCTTCATGTCCATTTCTTTTTTTCTTTTCAAATTTATTCTTTGGATTATACTCTTTGATTAACATCTTCAAACCCTAATGTTTCCGATTACTGTTTATATTTTTACTACCTCTACCACTATGGGATTTGGATGAACAATCGCATCTCTGTGCTAATGTGATATGGAAACTCGAACTGATGTACGTACGTACAAAGTTTCACGTTGTTACTGACTGACTTAGTCAACGAGTATCTTTACAACCAAACTTTCAAATAATTTCCAAGATTACTGAAAATTTTTACTGATTCACCTACCTATATATTGATTAATTTAATCCATAAGAAAGTGTCATAGAGGATATTTCAAGAAAATATTTGTAAATTATGTAGCATCAGTCACTGGCATAACCTATTTTTCCAATTCAATATTCGGAACGGTTTTGTTTAATGTCAAAATTATTACGCTAGTGAGCATCCATAACCGATTTCACACAAACGCTCCACACCTTAAATAATTCACATTCAAAGATTCTTAGGTTCAAAGAACCTTTAATACAGCATAGATAAGTATACTGTGACTATCGGTTAAACTTAAGTAGCATCTTGTAGCTGTTTAATTGCATTTCAAAATTCTACGACTGATGGGGGTGTACAATATGCAATCAGACGCCAATCATGATATTTCAACTAACCAAATCTGACGTACTAATGGAGATAATCACCATCGGATCTAGAGCTTAGGGTTTGATAGCTTAAAGAATCTTGAGTCTAAGTAACGTAAGAGTCGTGATATTATATTGTTTGTGCAAGAAATATTTAGTCCTCAAACGAAACTGTTTATTTTTTTAATTATTTTAGCCTGAAAACATACTTCTCAGTACCACAGACAGTGATGCGATCGTAAAAATCAGTAAGTATGGAATACGTGTAGAAATTGATATTATTATTTTCGTCATTCTCTTCGTAATAACCACTGCATGCTATTTTCCAAATCCAACTAGCAAGTTTGTTCGACTTGGTAAATTTTGGAAAGTTTTATGAAGAAGTCGAGACTTTGTCTAGTAGAAACTTATTAGTGAAGGCACATAGTCCAGACTTTGATATGTATCTGTTTATCAATTGATAAGCACTAAGATGAGTGCGGACAAAGAACTAGTTATTTTGACGTTATACACATTTTACTGTAGACTGTGAAGTAGCATTCAGTCGATGTTCTAGTATTTCCACTCACCATATGCAGCTATTTAGATTGAAGCAAGTTCTATAGATATCGTCCGTGTCTCATACTCCGTTCTACAATCAGTTTAGAGATATCGTATTAGAATAATTTCATCTTGTCGTGTTTATTACTATTTGAATAAAAGTGAATGACACATCTAGATGTTTGTATTACAGCCAAAAGTAATGTTTTCTTATTTTAAACTTTTGGAATAGATAATTCATTCAGGTTTTCCATGATGATCTAGCTTCAATTGATTCATGATCTCAACTGTTGAAATTACTACGATCTCCACAAAACCCCTTCTGATACTAATCACTGAGATATATTTAAAAGCTCCATATTCACAGCAAACATTCCTAAGGCTTCTGACTAGATTTATGGAATTGAGTCTAGTTCCATTTTCGCGGTAATCACTCAAATGATACCGAGATGCACAGAAAAAGTCCTGTAAATCTAGCGACTTCAAGACATAATGATTTACACAATAAAATCTGATTAAGAGCAGCTTGTGCATAGCTAAGTAATCAACTCAAACGTCATATATGTGTATCCGCCTTATTTGAATGTGTTCGGATTAAGTATACAATTGTTAGCAGGTACAGAACGGTGGTTGATCGTTTACTTCAAGTTCCCTTATCTGAGGAGTACAAACACCTTATCATTGCACTATTCAGCCACTTGGTCAAACTTCAATATTTCAAATTGTCCAGTTTCAATCAATTCGTAATACAATGACTACACCATCAAATGCAGTCTATTGACGCCCGACTTCATTAACAACTCGGTTTACTCCGAAAGTCACATATTAACATCAGAACCCCACGAGTTCCATCTAGACACCATTCAACATTAGGAATATGTTCACCGATGTGGTTTGTGAGTAATTACTTAATTCTGGCATACATATTTACAGATCGACGTCAGATGACTAGTGTTTCTTGGTTTGCCACTTGATTTGTCATTGATTGCAATAACGAACGCATCTCAATTAATCAGTTTTTCACAACATACAAGAGTAGAATAAAAATGCGGTTGTAATATTTACCAGTGTTTCTTGAGAAATCAAGTGGTCACATTAAGCGAAATCCCATAGACAATACAAATGAGATTTACCACTTCTAATAGTCAACTTATTGAAATATCTAGACTTTATATAGAGACACAATGTTTGAAGTTGAACGGAAGCCATGATTGCTGCACAGTTCAAACAATAGACCTCTAGGTAAACAACATAGAACCTTACTGAATAAAAACCAAGAAGTTGAATATTCTAGTTTACTCATTCATGTCTGGTAATTTGACTCAACAAAATAGCATTATTCGTGCTTCAACGTAGGTTTTGAATCATCACCTTTGATAAAAAATTTAGTCGGTCAGCCAGAGTTATTTTCGAATACCTAATATTTAATAAATTTATTCAATAATAAAATAGACATACTTTTCATTTTTCATTACTGATCGCTTTTATAAAACATAGTTCATTTGTCAGTTTCAATACTATCAGGTTATCCGTTCAATGATATCATATAGTTGCTAAGACTAATCAGTTCACTTCTATGCATAGAGTTAGAATTATTTAAGAGCTTAGCTAATGATCACAACGAAAGCAACAAATGTATTTATAACAAATACTTTATAGGCAAACAAAATAAAATTTCATAAAAATTATACAGTTTATTGTCCAATGTATTTTCACTCCGTTATGTTAATCAATCTAATATACATTTGTTTTTGTTTTACTTCTGTTTATTTCCTCTTAGCTGATTACTCTCCTCAATTATTTACAACTAAAGATTTAGATTTAGAATTGGTATGCTTGACGACAACATTTTGTGCACCTGAATTATTATTAAGTAGATGTTATGATAAAACTATTGATCTATGGGCACTAGGTATACTATTGTATATAATGTGAGTAATATTTGTAAATACATTCTATGCATAATTATTTAATATTAATTACACAGTCAAGATGATATTATATTACCAGATTCATACTTCTCTTCATTTGATGAAATCAGAAAAAAAAATCCTTAATTTTGATTAGATTCAAGTGGGTAACTTCTGTGAATTACTTGTCGATAGTTGTAACATGACGGGATCAGACCATCAGTTCTTGAAAAAAGATACATAACTAGCAAATATAAACTAAGGTGATAAATTTACTGCCTATATCGAATCTTTCTTTCAATACAAATGTCAAGACAGTTCTACTGTATGGAGCAGAAACCTGGGGAACTACGAAATTCATCATACAGAAGATACAAGTGTTTATTAACAGCTGTCTACGCAAAATACTTTGGATCCGTTGGCCAGACACTATCACCAACAACCTACTATGGGAGAGAACAAACCAGATCACAGCGGTGGAGGAATTTAGGAAGAAGCGCTAGAAGTGGATAGGTTACACATTGAGAAAAGCACCCAAGTGCGTCACAAGGCAAGCCCCAACATAGAATCCTCAAAGCCGAAGGAAAAGAGGAAGACCAAAGAACACATTACACCGATAAATGGAAACAGATATCAGGAGAATGAACAACAATTGGATAGAACTGGAAAGGAAGGTTCAGCATAGAGTGAGTTGGAGAATGTTGGTCGACGACCTATGCTCTATTGGGAGTAATAGGCCTAAGTAAGTAAGTAAGCAATCGAATCTTTCTGGTAAAAAACAACATTATTTAACTCGTAGATAGTTCTTTCAAGTTTATATGTGATAAGGACTTTTGTTCAACTTTATTAATCAGTTTTTACAGCTTTACATTTAGGTTTAAAGATAATTATTACTGTCAGAATTTTAGTTTCACTAAATATTCTTATTAAATTTGATGAAAATCAATAAAAGCCAAGATCAGTAGATCTTTAAGTGTTTGTATTTCATAAATTAAAAGATATTCCATAAGCTAATTTACATCATTCTTTTTTGTACATAAATATTTTAAATAAAAACATTCATCATCATCATCATCATCATCATCAATCATAAATATACGATGATGATGATGTGGACATTTTTGATGTATATTAAATGAAAGTTTCGTAGGAATATCACAGGTAACTGAGTAAAAGCATATATGCTCTTTTTTATTAATAAGTAAACAATAGAGTGTTTCATCTTAGGTTTTAAGTAGGAGGACGAAACACTATTGTTATGAATCTGTTCATTTCAACCAACCAATTAGTGATATGTAACGTAGAAGGTAACATATTTATGTATTCGTTGAATTTGCCACATCATATCAGCATAGAGAGATACCGGAGCAGTTTAGGTAGTAACAGTATGTGTGATAGTAGAAATAGCTAGGTATAACAGTTACAATTCAAGAAAAAAATATAGATAGATGATAGAACAAAAGAATTATGGGATAATTAAAAAAAATTATAAGTTACTTTAATTGAGTAAAGACCGAAAAATGTATAAATCAGGCCATGATACCTATCTAACAGTTCAAAACATTTGGTACAAACTTTAAGAGGAACTCTACACAGACACACTAACGTTTTGGAGATGCTCAGACATTCACTATTGAATAGTGAATAGATTTTAGGAGGTCGAACTTATCCGGTAAGAAGTTATGAGCCTAGATTTCCAATAACTTTTAGAAAAATATCAAACTAACTTACAACATGATAATCAGACAAATAACGAACTAAAGAGAAATACTACTTGGGAATGCTTTTCTAGCTCTCCACCTGTAAAACAGAATTTTACGTCTACTTTTCACTCTTTCATGATTTAGTAACGGGAGATAAAGTTTTGAGTTATTTCTGAAGCTGCAACAGCTCTCTTCAAGTAGTCATAAATGGAATCAAGTTGTGAATACAAAAATGTTTGAAATTTTCGGGTTTATTTAACCTGATGAACATACGACATATCAGTTCACTCTGTTCTCCTTTTCTGTCTTAAGACATAGTTAAAAAGAAGTAAACTATAAAAACGATATTCATTAATTAATTATAGGTGCCTTGAAAACAGTGGTTACCTGTGATGGAACTATGCGGTATGAAATATTTAGGGTCTATTTTAGACTAAGTTGGAAGAAATGTGGGAGCGGTCGGACAGATAATGAAGTTTATTAGTTTCTTGAGAAAGAATCGGGAGTATAACAAACCCAATTCTAGATTAATCAATGATCATTGGTTTGAGACGTCAGGTGCAATACAGAAATCTGACATATTGGATGCATTTTGAGCAATGTTCTACATTTTAAAATCTTTTCTGAGTGCAAAGCACAATTTATTCAAATTTCGCCAACTTCATAACTAAGATTTTTTTTCCAATAAGAAAATAAATCTTCCTTGGACCTGGATACTTATTCACTAAATATGTATAACGATTATTAAGTAGTTTCTTAAATATACCTTGTTTGATTCTAAGAATAAATCCAGTGACTGTATGAACTTTGATAAATATTTATACTTATCAATAGGAATATATTACAGATTTCTATAGGTCACTCATTTTAGTTAAGCATTCTTCCTACATTCATCCGCTTTTGTGCTCAAAAGAAATAATAAAGACATCACCTATCTATCTTTCTAAAGTAAATTTGTTTGAGAAGTGTGGAATCCAGGGATTACACTACTTATCAAGTGGATGTATCTGGGTTAATGTTATCGATTTCAGATAATTTAATTTCAAGTATTTTAGCCGTTGATCCATATGTAATATAGGATATTCAGAAAAGTCACAATTAGTCTACATATATCAATACTCATCTGTAACATATAGACATATAATCTTGATAAAATTAAAGATCTCTCCTTAACATCCTTCTCTACTGTGGCTGTAGATACCACTACTTTAACTAGTTAGAAGGAGTCATTTGAATGTTTCTGCATTTTTAAAAGTGAATAGATCAGAAAATTCAGTATAATTCTGGGTTTATCTGTGCTAATGAGGTATGGCAACTTGGATCGATGCATATATGTGCCTGGTCCTAAGTTGTAGCTTACTGAATGATACCTAAACGTCTAGTCACCAAATATGTTCTTACGTTCGAAATATTTTGTTAATAAGATGAATTTTCTCTCACTACTTATAAGCAGTTTAAACCTTTAATTTCGGTTTCTGGTGTGTTTTTTTTTAAGGTTATGTGGAGATGATCCTTATAAATCAAAATCTGGTAGTGATTTATATCGTGCTATACTTCACTGTGATATTGAGTTTAAATCTCCTTCATGGAAATCAATTAGTTTGGATGCTCAAGATGTTGTGAAACGTCTTTTAGTGGTAGATCCAAAATTAAGAATAATTACACCACATTTATTGAATCATTCATGGTTTATCATGATAAATCAAAATGAACAACATTTAGATTCAGTACAGGAGAAACTAGAACATTTTAACAAACAGCGTTTAGACAAAGTATGTATTACTGATTTAAATAACTTCGTTTCGTAGATTGATTCTCTGTAATATGTATCACGACGAAATGTTTTGTTGATTGGTTTCGTTTATAGTTAAAAATGAAGTATAATCCAGATGATAAAACTAAGAACTACTAATGACGACTTACAGGCTTTTGAAGTTTAATTATGTGTCTTACATTCAATCAGTGTTATGTGAAAGAATAATATTATTCTAAGTTGTTAATTACCAGCTATACAATTAAGTGGATTTAAATGAATCTCAATATATACATGAGAATACAGTAATGTGTTAGAGTATAAGATATTTGAATTCATGAATCAACTGAAAGTAAATATCCATAGAACACCTGAAAGCACTAGACGGCCATTTCGTCCTATTGTGGGACTCCTCAGCAATGCACATCCACGATCTCACCCCGCGGGATTCGAATCCAAAACATTTCGGTCTCGCGTGAGAGCTCTTAAACTCTAGACTACTGAGCCGGAATCCAAGGGTGTTAATGTCCAACTCCAATCAATCCGCGGAATTGAGCCATTGCCCACCATTGTCTTCAGTAAGTTACTTTCCCAAAACAGACCCGGCTGAACTTCACTGGTCATGGCTTCTCACTGCAACTCCAGGAAATAATTCTTGGAGACAGTCACTGATGATTATAAACAGACAGATTTAGTGGAGACTGATGGGAATAGTGAATGCATCGCTCAATTACTTGGATTAGTTCAAGTTAGACATTAACACAGATGGATGCCGGCTCGGTGGTCTAGTGGTTGGGCGCCCTCGTGCAAGACTGGTAGGTCCCGGCTTCGTATCTCTCAAGGTGGGATCGTGGATGCCCACTGCTGAAGAGTCCCACAACAGGACGAAACGGCCGTTCAGTGGCTACAGATTTTTCATGGCTGTCTAACTTCGAATGACTCATGAATTCAATTATTAGATTACTACAATCTCCACAAAACCCCTCTGAGTACTAAATATATTTGATAACTTCCTTTTATTCGTAAATTCGTATTTAAATAAATGTATCCTACTGAACATTAATTTTTTAAAAGTATTTGGACATGGAATATGAACAAGACTGGATAACATGTGAATATATGAAGCTACCAAAAAGAAGTACAGAAACAATTCTACCTAAGGTGTATGATGAAGATGTAGAAGCAGAAACAGTAATTGACAAGGTTAGCAAACTAATTGATTGATGCTATAAGTAACAATAGTGATAGTAATCAATTCATATATATACATATAGACTTTTTTGGGATTTCATGTCATTACTTATTATAGCTTGTAGTGAACAAGAACACGAATGGGGACAATGGAATGTATCCGAAGATAAACTTACAGAATATGGAAAATAGAACTCGATTGTCTCAAACTTGACCGTTCCTTTTACAAATACCAGTTAATCATCTCGTATTTCATTTTTCCTGCATTTTCATACTAATTGCTTTCCGTTTCCGTTTTTGCCTTCTCGATCTTCTACTGTAATACATTTTATTTCTCACTATCATTATGTACTACTTATGAGAATATAAGTAGCTCACACCAGAAGCTTACCTTAATAAATAGATTTATTAGATAATCAGCTTTTTAAGGAGTGAAATATTAAAGTTAAATTCATTTTACCAGAATATATTAGACAATTATAGAAAGAAAATCTATTCAGTGAAATATTTTTCTATTAAAATCGATTCCAATTTAAATAGACAGTTTTAATGTACTTCACTAATTAAAAAGGTAAATATATAGATGAAATCTGTTTCATTCATCAATGATAATCTGTTAATTATTTACAGATTTGATCAAAATATTTTATGAGTTTTTCATTTTATATAAATTAGAACTGTGATAATATCGTATTGATAGAAGATACAACAGAGTACGTCCAACCAGTTGGCCAAAACGATATCAGCGTTGATTCAAATGAGGCGGTAAGACATAAGTAACCTTAGAAATTGGTTTTGTATTCAATAGCTATCATTAGTAAATTGTGTATAATATCTAGAAAACATTAATTCATTTAATATTCAAATAATTATTGTATATTACCACAGAGATACTGTATCATGATCACTTGAGACTCGATTAGTTGCTATCTTGAGTTTGTTGGTATGTCGTTTATACAAACGAATGGAGAGTATGTAATTGTTACGTGTAGTTTCAGAATTTTTATCACTACCTAATTGTTTTTAATGTCGTTAATTGATCTGGGATAGATGATTTAATTGCCGAGCTCTTATTGTGCCTAGAGAAGTAACCAACCACTAAAAAAATCAACCTCAAAACAAGAAAGTAGATAGTCTCAGCATATGTGAAAGTATCTCGGCAATCACTACAAGTATTTTAAAACCCTTTTAAATCATTCCACTTTTTACAGGCGAAAAGATAAAACAAATGCAACATCAGTTACAGGATAAGTTGTAAAATTTGTCAATGAAACTCAGAAACTGTTAAAATTCTAAGTCAAGGGAATTCTGAGACTATTAGAGAATTTCTAAATTAATAGCATATAGATTAATTTATAATCGGAAGATATATCTAGATAAATCCGACCTATCAACTGATTTGGAAATAATCGATCAATAACTTGATCAGAGGTCAACAAATTACGACAACTAACTTGAATAAAACGTACAAAGTCACGAGCGAGGTGACCAGAACAAACTGATTAGATACTTGTAGTTATTTATCAAAAAACTTCATTTAATGTTACAGCTATAATTAGTGATTAAGGCGCTTGAAATATAACCCTGTTTGTTTTTGGAGATTTCAAATAAAATTAAAGTTCACTTTATGATTGAAATATTAAAAAAAACTTAAAATTACAATCGGTAAAGCTACATCTAATCAGCTTATCTACAACATAATAATGATATAAATAAAAATAATATATTTGTAATCTTTCAATAAGTAGAAAAATTAAGTTTTTACATTTTCTGACGTCTCATAATTTAGTGTAAGCCACTTCTTCAGAGAATAAATAAATAACCAAATCAAAATTAATCCAAGTTTAAATAGTACAGACGGAACAATACAAGAATATTAGGTGAGATTAATCAAAAAAACAGATCTAACCAAGTCAATGTCATGTTATTCCGGTTAAAGTGATTTATATGAGACATGTTTGTTTATTTGTATGTGTATATATACTAAAAGATAAAATAATGTGATGCTTTCTACATTGGAGAGTCATTTTGTGAAATCTTGATTCGGTCCAAAGAATATCTTAAGTACACGAAGAAACCACCTAATAATCCTGTAGAACTGGAAAGATTCCAAATTAAATCGGTAATAGCAGTTCATGCCATTTTTAGCAACCATCAAATCGATATTAACATCGAAATAATAGAAAAAGGCTTTTCCAACTACAAAGAAAGGCAATTAGCTGAAGCTTTTCATATATTGCTTAATCTTATTGTCGTAAATAGAAAAAAAGGCCTCACTATCCATCCGACTTGTATTATTTATCCAAGCAACCATGTTTGATTCTATTCACATTTTACACTATTATCGTACATACACATTAAACTCGATCCTTTTACACCACAAAAGTCACATTCATTCATCCCTAACCCTGCACACACACACACACACATACAAATTTACATATATATGTTACTTATAAATCACCTTGACCGAAATGACTTGTTCAGACCTGTTTTTTTGATTAATCTCACCTAATATTCTTGTATTGTTCCGTCTGTACTATTTAAACTTGGATTAATTTTGATTTGGTTATTTATTTATTCTCTGAAGAAGTGGCTTACACTAAATTATGAGACGTCAGAAAATTTAAAAACTTAATTTTTTTACTTATTGGAATATTACAAATGTGTAAATCAACAACGTAGATTGTCTATGTCGAAAGATTGCGGGTCTATTCGATTTAGGCATAAACAGTGTGACCAACAGCTAGCTTCAAAATTACACCTCGAGGTCATCACTTAACGTGAATTACCCTTTAGTGGTATGTAGATTCAGTGGCCGCTTTGAAGACCGTATAACGAAGGATGTTATTACAGAAATTTATTAACAAAATTAGATATACGGAAGAATTTGCAATCACCACTGCATGAACCAGTTCATGGTTTGCAACTAATTGATGCGTATTGGTTTTCCTTGACCTTGACAAGGATCGATGAACTGTTCGACATCTAATGACCCAAATGCCGGATGATATGGCTAGGGTTCAGTAACATTTCATTGGTTCCACAAATTTATTATTTTATTTATAACAATCTACCCAATGCTCTTTTTATTTGAAATCATCAAGTGAAATTTTGTTAATAAAGCCTACAAAAAATAATGATGTGTTTAGAATAACTAAAGTATTTAGTATTGAAGATATATGCTACAATAGTGTCTTCTCAACTAAAATACATGGATTTGTGTTCTTCGTTAATTATTTATTACTGAACCGAGGTGTAACATCAGATAACCTATTATATTTGCTAAGTTCAACAACTTCGTCGATCAGGTACAGTCATTTTCAAAGTGTATAAAATAAACTTTACTGTTATCAACTGACAATTCATGTACCGAATGTACTCGTTCAGGTATATGTCGTCACTTTTATATTAAAAATAGAGTTGAACACTTTTATAAAATAATATTTCATAATTCACTTATATATATTTTCTTTCTTCAAAATGATATTCTATTTTAATTTTATAGAATGAATTAATTGATACAACTTCAGATCAATTCATAGCAAGTTCATTGAAGAATTTACTTCATGAATATCATTTATCAGATGATCAAAATTCAATATTGAATAAACAAGATATACATGTTAGTTTATATTGAATCATTGTTAATTACAATAGTTGAAATCATGCGTCAATTAAAGCTAGACCACCATGGAAAACCTGGAATTAGTGCATTAGTTGAAGTTAAACATTAATACCGTTGGATGCTGGCCGGCTCAGTGGTCTAGAGGTTAAGCGCTGATAGATCTCAGTGTGGAATCTCGCGAGATGAGGTCGTGGATTCGCACTGCTGAGGAGTCCCACAATATGGTGAAACGGCCGTACAGTGCTTCCAGATTTTCCATGGTGATCTAGCTTCAATTAACTCATAATTTCAACTATTGAAATTACTATAATATCCACAAAAGCCCCTTCTGACATTGTTAATTAGTCGATATTTGAAATGATTCTAAGTGAATTATGAACTTTCTAGTGACTTTTCACATAGGAATTTAGGAACTTATAATGTATCATATAAAAGTTTGGAAATAACTACAAAGTATCCAATCAACTAATCTCAACATGTTGGACAACTGATACACAACTGGTATTATATCAGTCTGATAATGGACTAGCGCAGTTTCTTCATAAACTTAGTGCAATCTAGTTTTCTGATAAACGAATCATCTTTAAACATTTAAGCAGAAAGTGGATATGAGATAACTTAATCTAATTATCGGAAAACAGATTGGATCAAATCATGTTCCGTGAAGGATTCTGATGAAGCACACCGATTGGTTATTTCCTAGACAATCAACGTTAGCAAATACTTGGAGAGAACGTGAGAATCTTCCTACGTTAACATTATAAATATGTTAACATTTTTCTTCTTGTGATTCCTACGTTTCTTTTCAACCGCATTCTGATTTAAGGACTTTTTAAATGAAGTAGTGTCCAAGATTATTAAGCAATATGTGTAGTTGTGTCGTAATAAAAGAAATTATAAAACTTTGGTATTGATATAAATGTAGAGGGTCTATATTTTTCAGATATTTTACATTATGGACTGACCTTAATTAGCCAAATAATGAAAACCAGTAAGCACTACACAACTGTTTCGTCCTATCATGTGACCCTCCGAACCCAGGATTTTCAGGTTTTGTTGCAAGCTTTTTTTCATCACGCCACTAAGCCGCCAACTAGCGATTTAAATGTCTAACCTCAATCTATTCGTGATATTTCCCGACCATCATTCATTGCTGTCGATGAGTATCTGCCTCAAATCAAAAATGATTCAGCTCAACTGATCACAGCTTCTCATTAGAAATTCGTGGATAACTCCTGATCAGCATATGATTTTCATCAGTTCATGAGGTTGGTGGAAACTGCTGGAGATATATATTATCACAGAATGACATGATTTGGAGAATTAAGGCGAATCAAGCTACATTTGACTGCTTTTTTTTAATCTTAGTTCAGTACTCATTTTTCGGTATCACGACCCCACACAATGTTAAGATTTATGCCTTCAGGTTTCGTAACAATCATGATTCCTCGAGACCATTGTCTTTCAGTAAGTAAAACTATCTTTAAACAAACAAAATGATATTACTTTGTAAATATACGACTGTAGAGCCTCAAAAATAAACTCACCAAAGTGATTTTATCATTGACATATGCGTTAAAAATTATATCAGTATCAAACGTACTTGATTTGACTTGCCCTACTACCTAGTGATCAAATGATTTAATTGGAATGGCCTTAATAATCATATTAGTTTGACTACAGGACAATTGTTTACAACGTTACTTTCTACTGGTTTTTCGCCTAGAAACTTATTTCTTTCCCTGAAATATTCCCATTATATTAAAACACAATTGAATGAACGAAGAATATTCTTTTCAATAATTTCTCATCAGGTTCTACAATTATAAATCGACATTAATAATCCATAGAATTGGCCAGATTTAAGGCAGAGTACATCATTTGGAATTTGTGATAAGTAAATCAAGAATTGTTATTTGTTATATAAAATCAATTGTTAATGTTGAAGCTGGCTGACTAATATAAAGTGTTAACTTGAATCAGTTTGTAAGTGAAATGAAATTGTGCGATAAATAATCAGAATAAATATGGTCAACATGGGGTGAGAGAAAAAATTTTATGGGATAAAAAACCGGAAATTACATAATATGTGAATTAGGTCAGATATAGTAGATTTAGGGGTGGATATTGAATAAATTCCTCAAAACGGTTATCAAATGTAATAATAATAATAACAATAATAATAATAATAATAATAATAACAATGATAATCATAGTCGTATAGATAATAATAATAACAACAATAATAACAATAATAATAATAAGTTTGGGACATAAAATGAAGATTAATCAAATTACGTCACACTATTATAAAATTGATTATTAACTAGTTGGCTCTAAAGTTGGCCAGGGTAAAAGGAGTGGCTGAACATACTTCTTTTGGATGCAAAGCTCTGGCTTTTTGATCCGAATAGCAATTGCTTCGGCCGTCTGTAGGATTCGCAGTCTGACGGAATTAGGTAGAATGCTGTTAACACGATAGATTATTGCGAAAGATTGCTCCATGTTGGCTGTATGTCCTGTCTGAACTAGATGATCTAAGATAGAGCTGTTAACCGTCTTGACTACACCTTTGCTTAACCACACGGGTAGGTGCTCACGAGCCCGAATGTACAAATTCCTAGAACATCTGTGATGAGTACTATTTTAAAGTAAGACTAATCTTTACAAAATCTATCATTATGCTCAACAGTAACTCACAGTGAGGTGGGTTCCTGAAGTTTTAGGCAGCAATCATGAACGATGGAGTCCCAACAGGTCAAAAGTGAATCAACAGTTATTAATATCATTGAATGATCATCGCACTTTGTTATAAATTGATTGTAGTTGGAAACGTATACATTTAAATGCCGAATCAGTAGTCTAGTAAGTCGATGTGAAACCTAAATGTCCTGCGTTCGATATCTGGCTGCTCCGTGTGTACTCACTATTGAGGACCCCTATAGTAAAACGAGACAACTATTCAGTTCTCTTTAGATTTCAAAATTTCCCTCAAACGAATTTAATCTGTGATGAATATTATCCTCAAATTGAGATTAATCTTTAAAACACTCATTCACCAACTCGGGAACAACCAACCATCATCTTCATTTTTCTATTACTAGTGAAAAAAGGTTCATGAGTAAAAATTATGATACCTGACTGAATAGGAGTTACAATCTTAATTAAAATTTTACATTTTTGCACTTTTACTGTTTCCATTACTTACTTACTTCTGTTACTCCTCGTAAAGGAGCATAGGCCGCTCACTAGCATTCTCCATTCAACCCTGTCCTGGGCAAAACTTTCCATCTCTTTCCAGTTGTTATTCATCCTGTAGCTCTTCTAGAGTTACTGCCGATCCAAAGCTCGAGTAAAGGAGGAGGGTTGGGCATGGAGTTAGCGACTCTATCCCATAGAAAACTAAGTCTCTGAAAAAAACTCTAAAACGCTATTTTTTCCATACTTCTCTTAATAGTAACAACTAACGACGAATCCGTTTCTTTGAAGAAAAAACCGAATTATATGTTATCAAAAATACTGTCGTCTATAAAGAATGATTTGATGTATTAATCAAATTAATTGAATTTCCTTACTTTAACTAAAATTAACTAAACAGCTAGAATAAGAGTACTTCATCATTTTGATGCTACTAGTTACTGAAATGCTGATATAAAACATATTGAAATAACTAAACACTATATTTGATTTATAAATTGTCGACTATATATTATTCAATGATCTCAGTGAATGCCGAGCTATTAGAAATTGTTCATTCGACAATACTTTCAGCTAAATTACTATTAAATAATAAAAATAGGGAAATTTCACTGAGAATATCAAATCCTCTAATGATACAAACTTATGTTTGTACTGATGAAGTTTTTCAAAAGAACATTGAAAAGTTCGTGATTAAACGATTCAACTAAAAGAACGAAACCCCCATCCAGATGAAAACTTATTATAAGTTCTGGTTAAAGAACCGTATTAGAATGTATCACCATTCATATGCAAAACTTTATAACGTTTAGTTCCTAATATTTATACCGGGATAAGTCTTACAAAAACTGTATTAAGAAAGAGTAAAACATGTAACTTAGCAGTGTAGTTACACTTGTTAGTTAAAGCAGTTAGTCTATTGATTTCGTAAATTGTATAATTGCATTAAATTACTGAATAATTATGGTGAAATACTTCCTGTTCAATAGATTCAAATTTATCCACTGGACAAATAGTTAAAATGATATACACATAATTTTGGATGCCATTCTGAATAGTTGTGAATCTTCATCGACTGAAATGGTTGAGCTACGTGTTGCGTATACCTGAACACCGATTACAAAGACGCACAATGCTAACTGGTGTTGGGGGTGGTTGGAAGAAAGTTAGGGGCGGCCAAACCAAAAACGTGGCATCAGTGCTTAAAGTCACTAACTTCTAGTCCGTTCCATGTTGGTAGATGCAGACTACTTGGTTGGGGTCCTCATGACTATCGTAACCAATTGTTGGATACTGTGGGTGACATGGCTCAGAATCTATCACAATGGCACTCTCTGTCTTCCCTTAAACCATGAGATTAAAATCACTTCATGTCTTTCTACGTACTAATTCTTTCTTCCTGTGACTAACAGTGGAATCTAGGACGCGCGTTCCGACCTATCCAGGAAACGTCAGCTGGATGTATCTGCATCTCAGAGTTAATATTCCCCCTGGGACTCGAACCCAGTACCTTTCACTTCAAATGTCAGTGTGTTTTCCACTCAGCTACTGTGTTCTGATCGATTACAGTCTTAAACATCAATAAGAAGATTCAAGTAAACAATACCAAGTGATTGAGTTCATGAACCGATTGATGTTGGACCACCATTGATAACCTGGAAGCACTGGACGGCCGTTTCGTCCTATTGTGGGACTCCTCATTAGTGCGTACCCACGATCCTGCTTGCGGGATTTGAACCCAGGACCTTCAGTCTCGCGCGAACGCTTAGCCTACTGAACCACTGAGCCGGCATTCAACGGTGTTAATATTTAACCTCAACCAATTCACAAAATCGCGCGACCATCTTCGATTGTATTGAGGTAGATACCTATATGTACTCGACACGGATTAACTCCACTGGTCACGGCCCTGGGTTAGGATCCCGCGAGCGGGATCGTGGATGCTCACTGTTGAGGAAACCGACAATAGGATGAAACGGCCGTCCAGTGCTTCCAGATTATCAATAGTGGTCTAACATCAATCGGTTCATGATTTCAATGAAAAACTTAATAATCTCCACAACCCCTATACTGATAAATACCAAGTGAATTTCAAAATTCAGTTTGTTGTTTTTTGGTTTACAAATCATCAAATCCCATATGTATTTTATTTTAATCTTCATTTACTTTCAATATTGTTAAACAAAGATGTTCACAACCTTTTCTTATATTTAATTGTCTAATATTGAAGAATAAACAAAGTGTGTTATAAAAAATGTTTTAGGAAATAAATCAAGAAAATTTAGGATTAAATGATGAAAATGAACTATTTAATGTTACTATGATGAAGAGTAATGACAATGAGCATATGTAAAGGTTAGTGAAACTAAAGAACACATTAATAAATTAATGATTAATAATACTCAAAATTTTATTATGTTGTTTATTTATTACTATTAATATTTTTAAAGTAATAACAATAGAATCCAATAACTCAATACAATATTTAATCAACTGTACTCATAGAGACAACGAAAATGTTGTAATCTTTTAACCTGGTTAATTTATCCCATGATTTATTCGTCAATCGAATTATGACTTATTCAATCTTAGTACTGTGCCAAAACCAACGACGTTCGACCGGTATGAGCAGCCTAGTGTCCTTACTGATCCTTTGTTCGCATAGCCCGTCCAGTTGAGACCAGGACACCATTAACAGCTCCCACTATGCGAATCATTTATTTCAAACATACTTAGTTTATATATCATCCAAACAGTCCGCACCACACCATGAAATAGCAAATAACATTTATACAAGATCAAGCCAAAAAAAGACTGTGAATGTGGGAGACCGTAATCAATAAACTGAACATAACTTAAAAACAATAAATCATATAACAATAATGATCTATAGGTCGAAATGAAGCTTATAATAAGAGGAATATAGATATACATAATCTAGTTACTAAACAGTTATACAATAGGGATATTTGTACATATTAATAGTCCATTAATAGATCTCATAAATACCCGCAATTTAATCTTCACTTGGATATAAATAATTCAATGAAAATACTCACAATTGGTCGATAGCATTCGATCTGCACTAATAAGAACTAGACACTCATGACATTGATCACCAGCCAGTGATCAGTCAATCGCGATTATATCTCAGTCCTACAGGAGGTCTGTCGCGGCCCGGATAGCCCAGCGGCAACCTCTCTGACTGTGAAGCTGAGTGACACGGGATCGAATTCGTCATGGAGCACCAGTTCCCTCAAGATTACAGGTACGCCTTATTAACGAAGCGCGAAACCTGACCCCAGCGTTTCTTGTTGACTACCTCCAACCACCATCTAATCAATGAAAATACTCTATAGTTTGATGTTCACTTTGGAAATTTAAATTAGAGTTAAATAAACTAATTAGTCTGTCACTGGAAGTTCTGTTTCTGAATTATTTATGTTTATATTTACTTCGTATTGTTTACTTGAATCTTCTCATTGATCAGTCTCTTATTGGCATATGTGCATATGGTGCAGATTGCCTCGCTCTTGCCTTAATTCAATTTTTGCTTATAATATTTATATTTATGTTTAATTATTTATTAATTAACTGAATCAATTAAATCTGTTAATATTCAGTTGTGACAAGAAATACTCATTACGTAACCTAAATATTCATGATGAATTGGACGTCTTGAACTAGTAGATTAGTAGATTCTAGGTGAATAAACACCCTTGAAATCTGTTTCCTAGCTCAAATATTTTTTTTACAAATATGTATGATTATATAGTTTGATTTACAGAGTTGTACCTCACTTTAATATGAAGAATAATTTGTAATTGTAAATGAACACTAAGATAAATACATCATTATATGCACAGAATCACTGAATAATAGATATTTGAATATGCACTGCTAAGGCGTCCCATAATAGCACGAATCGGCCGTCCAGTGCTGCTAGGTTTTCCTGGGTGGTCTAGTTTCAATTGATTCGTGATGTCAACTATGGGAAAAATCATTGTTGTTATTGTTTTTCTTTGTTTATCAGTTAAAGGCGTTTACTAGTTATAAAAAATTACTATTTGTGTTTAAGCTATGACAAATTTTCTTGTAAAGTGTTCATGGATTCATTTCACAAGCAAAAACTACACTTAGTTCATACTTAGATTTTTACTAATCAGTAGTAGTTGAAATAACAAACATTTACGTAGTTCGTGCTTAGTTGATGGTATAACGAACATTAATATGATATTTATATCATTCGGATATAAAAAATTATTTCTATATACATCATGATATGTCGTACCACTGACTGCTTAAACATGTTCATCATGTTTTGTGACATTGTTATTTGTTTATTCGATATAGTTAATTGTATATCAAATAATTTCAATCAAATAATTGATTATTATGTGTGAACGTTTGCAGAAATTGATATCAACTGGATGCTCACTGAAAAATGCAATATACTAGAGGGATTTTTATTAGTTGAACATTGATAAATCTTGCAACTGAACTCTTGAATCGGTTTCCTAAGTTCTTCCAATAACCCTAGACTAAGTCTGCACGATAACTTGAACACGAAAGAAAAGGCGCGAAGTATGAAAATAATTCTTTGCTTCAAGGTTGGTTTATATACAGAACATTGAGGGCATTTCTAGCATTTCAGACGACCTTGGGCTTCTGGAACATTCTGGAACCCTATTAAACATAGTGGAAGGGTAGGCAATAATCCATTCGGAAATATGACACGTGACTATTTACTTTCTAAATGTTTCTGAAAAACTTCTATTCAATGCTGATTGAATAAAATGTTTCTAAGTTTTTCCAGAGCGCCTTTGGACTTTTTTTGAGAAATATTCTGGTCCTTATAAACAGATATATGTTATCAACCCACCTGTTTGAAACAGTGCACATATGTACCAGCTTTTAAGTTATATACGACAGACCGATTAACTAACTCAAGAGAAAATGTATGACATTTAATTTTGAGGGAGTATTTGACTTCATTTTGCTAATGATTTTATAACTTAACCACGTTATCAGTGAAATCAACTTTACATAATATTTTTTAATTACAATTTTATTATATTTAACGGGTAAAGAATAGAACTATACTTCTTGTTTCCACTATTCTTGTTTTCCAGGATCACTTATGATGTCAATAAATGTAATCATCTTTTCGTGTGACTTAGATTTCTCGAATAACTTCAAACATTCTAGACTATTTTACATTTATTTTCAATAATCAAGTAGATTAATTAAAAAGGAAATATTTTAAATGCAGTTTACTTAATAAACGAGAAATTCGTTAAAACTTAATTTATTGTAACATACTGTTGAATATTGTGAAAAACTGATTAATTGAGATGCGTTCGTTATTGCAATCAATGACAAATCAAGTGGCAAACCAAGAAACACTAGTCATCTGACGTCGATCTGTAAATATGTATGCCAGAATTAAGTAATTACTCACAAACCACCTCGGTGAACATATTCCTAATGTTGAATGGTGTCTAGATGGAACTCGTGGGGTTCTGATGTTAATATGCGACTTTCGGAGTAAACCGAGTTGTTAATGAAGTCGGGCGTCAATAGACTGCATTTGATGGTGTAGTCATTGTATTACGAATTGATTGAAACTGGACAATTTGAAATATTGAAGTTTGACCAAGTGGCTGAATAGTGCAATTATAAGGTGTTTGTACTTCTCAGATGACGGAACTTGAAGTAAACGATCAACCACCGTTCTGTACCTGCTAACAATTGTATACTTAATCCGAACACATTCAAATAAGGCGGATACACATATATGACGTTTGAGTTGATTACTTAGCTATGCACAAGCTGCTCTTAATCAGATTTTATTGTGTAAATCATTATGTCTTGAAGTCGCTAGATTTACAGGACTTTTTCTGTACATCTTGGTATCATTTGAGTGATTACCGCGAAAATGGAACTAGACTCAATTCCATAAATCTAGTCAGAAGCCTTAGGAATGTTTGCTGTGAATATGGAGCTTTTATATATATCTCGATGAATTATCTATTCTAAAACTAATGTTTAGCAATATGAGAAACGAAGTACACGATGATGAGAAAACATCTAATACACCTCCCACGGTCACGAGAGTGGTGTGGACTAACAGTTGCTAACCGCTAGGAAATAATGATTGATATCATCTGGAATGCTATTCAACACAAATAACCTAAGTCAAAACGAACAGCTGAGAAGCGAAGATCCTGACTTAAACGGGACACGGAACGTTGGTTACTGGACAAAATGCGAGCTTCGCTCAAGTTAACTGGCTTTTCAAAAGGATTTGGATCGTAGTTCATACATTGCATTGATAAACTGATGTAACGGTAATTTCTGATGAAATAGACGTTTTCAGGTCAAGCTGGCAGCCAAAATTCAAAACTACCCAAAATATTTTCATAGATTCATGACTAGGAATTGACCTACAAACGAAATGATCTATAGTCTGTAGTGATGTAGGTTTTGATGCCGAGCATATAACTATTGAGAAAATTTACATTTAATATGTAACACTCGGAGAAGGTCAGAGAAGTTGAACGTGGGAACAACAATAATATAATAACAATATACTTCCGCCAGGGCAAGTTCAGTGCATTTTTACAAACATGATTTATATGTTGAAAAAATAATTTGCCCACACTAGGCTTCTCAAGTAGTGTTGTTAAATAAATGGAGTCAATAAACGACAGTACATTAGTGCGAATGTTCCAGAGAGTTAGTGATCGGGTTTATGTTTTAGTATTGAACTGAGTGCAGCTTTTAATAAAATATTTTTAAAAGTGGCATCTGGTTCAATTCGCACACAAGGATCATACACATACTAGCTCCTAAAACTAGAATAAAATATGGTTAGGGATTTCAGATAAGAGAATACAGTAATAAGTAACAATGAGTTGGGATATTTAACGACGTCTAGTAAGTTAAAATTACGGAAGGGAAGTTGAAGTTAGAGCGAAGAAGGCTATTTATTAGGACGGACAGCATATGAAGGCAGTAAATTTTTAAGAAACACTGAGAACCATAACTATTATTGCCTGATAATTTAGTTTTCGTATTTTCGTCTGATAACAGCCACTTCACTATAATGTAAAAGTTCCAGTTAGCATACTATGTGTTTTCTCAGTAGAATAGCTCGTCCAGCATAAAATTGTAAACATGAATCTGAAAAGGGAATGTAGGGCCAGTGAAATTCCACTGAGCCCTAGCCATTGAATATCGAACAAAATCATCAATCCTCGTCAACGTCAAGGACAACCAACGCGCATCAGTTAATCGTACGCCATGGACTGCCCCATGCGGCAGTGGTCTTACCTTCGCTTGTATCTACTTTAACTAATATATTTCTGTAATACCGTCCTCTGTGTTGTACAGTCTTCAGCGCATCTTTAGTACCTCGATACGTCAATGGGGTAATCTATGTAAGGTGCAGACCGCGAAGTGTGACTTCGACGTCAGCTAGTTTGTCACACCACTCACGTCTAACTCGAGTAAGCCTCTAATCATTTCGATATAGATCATCCACGCTGGTTATCTACACTGGTGAGCAAGACTGCGAATAACGCAACCTATCATTATAGTCTTTAGTATTGCAATCTATACTTATTCTTTTTCATTTTTATCATCGCCTATGTTAATCTGTTACTGTGAACTTTCGTTGCTTCATGTCAATATCGATTAGTATTTAAACTGAAATAACTAGTTCAGTAGGTAGAACTAACTAGTCAACTACGGTTATAATCGGCTATCGTGGTTCTTTAACAAGCATAAGCAGCATGTAAATGCTCCTGTGTAATATGTCTGTTAAAATATCAACCACTCGTGGGTATAGCCACAAGGCAACACGAACGCACATCGGTTTGTAACTTATCCAATAGTTTATGCGAGAAAAGATTAACTGTCGACTTTAAATTCGTCTTCCTGCTTAACCTCTATCCACTAGAATATTTCTATTTTTGACCTGCCTGCCTAATTTCCAACTGGCGAGTTCCATGGCCAAACAGAGGATACAAATGCTAGAAATTTACGGTGAGTTCAAACTATAAATGTTCTGCAATCTTAGATCTCGGTTAGACTGTTCGACAGGCAATGCTACGTATTTGGCTTGAATTTATTCTGGACTTTACTAATTCAGTCTACAACGCTGTGTTAATCGAAGAATCTAATCAACAGTACCTCGTATATAATCCAGATTTCAACTACTATCCACTTCGTATCTTCATTACTTGGAAGCAAGAGTAACCCAGGCGAGTTTCATAAAATCATTAGATTATTTCGTACTATCTTTATGATGCGTAATAACATTTCGTAGTTGCTTTCATATTAAGTAGTCATATATTCTGTCACTTCCGTTAAGTGTTAGTCGAAATCATGTACATTTGTGACTCGTTAATCGACATACTATGGTAAAACATATTGCATGTACACGAACAATCTTATTTCATGTCCTGAGTAGACACTTTGTCGTACGTAATATGTCACTTAACGATAGGTAACAAGCTTTTTGCATCAGCCTTGTACGAAATTGCCACGTTACCTGAACCCTCTAAACTTTAGTTACATTGGTGTTTACCATTTTAATTAATGTTTACTATACTCCTTGTATTTGCTATTATTTCACACGGTAAATCATGGCTCGATCTCCTTATTACACGACAGTCATTTTAATTCCATTTTCGATTTACTTGTATGCAATAATGGTTTGTAATATATATAAACGTCCTCGAAAATTCTCCACGAACCCAACCATAGTTTTCGTATATACTTTTCTCCAAACGTCCAACTGTTACGCTAATAATACCCAGACGAACGTTCAGCGCAACTATCAGTATACGTAAGAACGATGTTATTTAAATTTGACTTTATAATACATCAGAACAATTTTAGTTATTCTACTTCGATATCGTACTTTATATTATGAAGTATTTCCTCGTGTCTGTTATCTAAAAGATGATTTCGGTGCATCGATCGGCTGCTCAACTATTCGACGATTTAAAACCTGTCCAGTTCAATTAGTGATCTGACGACATTATCATCTGCGCGAATCATCAGTTTGTGCAGTCGAGCGAATCTCCTGCACACTGAAAACGACATTGTCACCTCTATCCCAACACTGACAGCGTTTTTCACTGGTATCATTGACATGAGTCCAGAGTAACACTCTTAGTTTCTTATGGTCTTTTCGATATTTTTCTGTTCGCTAATCGAACAAACAATCAGCAAGCATCGTTTATCATCTTTTGGAGACTTCAAAGTGCCGTCTTCGCCCTGGATTTGTAGCCTTCGACCCTTACTGACTGTAACAGCAGTCATCGACTTTCAAAACTGACTACAAGTGGATTAATAGCCTCGCATGACGAAATCACGATTACTCTTCACGACTATACTTCTGTACTTACAGTTAGTCTGTTAAATATAGATATAGCTGGAAGTTGTCAACGACACTGTCTGACATTCATCTTTCAATCAATGGCAGTATAAACATCCGTATCGATTGATAATACACTTATCCTACTATCGCTATAGCATCATTGCCCTTGCGGCAAAGTTAATGTTTCTCATCTGAGAAACTCAATTACTTGTCAAAGCTATATACTTCAGCGCGACGTTATGTTCTTTTTATTATTTCTATGGTTAATGGCTTTATGTTCTACTAAAATATTATTACTTGCTGTTTCTCGATCAGTTTCTGCCGCCTCGTTTCCAATTGTTTTGCAGCTCGGCAATACCCAGAGGATTCTTATTAATCGTTTGGCAATCTCCGGCGCGCGACTACCGACATGTTTGGTACCGATTCAAACGGCCGTTGAATCTGGTGGGGGAGTATTGTAGGGCTAGTGAAATTCCACTGAGCCCTAGCCATTGAATATCGAACAAAATCATCAATGCTCGTCAACGTCAAGGACAACCAACGCGCATCAGTTAATCGTACGCCATGGACTGCCCCATGCGGCAGTGGTCTTACCTTCGCTTGTATCTACTTTAACTAATATATTTCTGTAATACCGTCCTCTGTGTTGTACAGTCTTCAGCGCATCTATAGTACCTCGATACGTCAATGGGGTAATCTATGTAAGGTGCAGACCGCGAAGTGTGACTTCGACGTCAGCTAGTTTGTCACACCACTCACGTCTAACTCGAGTAAGCCTCTAATCATTTCGACATAGATCATCCACGCTGGTGATCTACAGGAAGGTAGGAGGACAATTTTAGTATCACTGATTGATTGCCCAGTCTTCAATCATCAAAAGCTTAATGCAAACAAAATGTTCTGTCCCACTAACATGAATGGATTAAAGTCATCGCCCTCATAATCGATGCTTGCTGCTCAGTAACTCCACCATCCCTCCTTTCGTCATGATGGGCTGATTTAAGCTTAGATAAACATTATGCCCAAAAACTATGCTCTGTGTTTCCAACACTGTTGTAAAACGCTATGAGTATCATTTCACAAGCTTATTAGGCAATCACAAATTATGGACGTGAGTAAGGCATTGATGCAATTGACTACAGTATAAAATATAGGTTTCCAATCAGAGTATGGAAATTAATAAAGGTACAATGTAGGGCGGAAAAGTATATGGATATAGTAGTTGTAGATAAAGCAGTGAGTGGTGAAATAAAATTGATTGTAAGTCAACATTGTATACAAGAGAGTGAATGAAGAATGGACTAGAAGGAACTCTCATTAACTTGGTGTAAATGCTGTTTTGTATTTTCCTAACCGCTTGATGTGTTAAAGGCTCCATAGATGCAAGACTACTAGTAGGTATAAGATCATGGGGCTCTCTTAAAAACTCTTTAGGATAGTAATGCGCGTGCTTTGCGACTGACTACTGATGAGCAGTATCGATAGGTCCAGTGGGTTACCTGTTTATAAGTAAAAATTTGGGAGGTACACATAGCTACGGAAATATATTTAATACAACAGCAAAGAATTAAAACTAAGGGAAACTAAACTTACAGTCTGATGTAGTTTAGTCATGTAATGGGCCAATTATGTCTGGGCGAGGCGCTGACGTATTCGATCTTGCTAGATCAGTACAATCGTAAGCTCTATACATATTACAGGTGAGGCAAATGAGATTTCGAAGGGCTTGAGGTAGGGATAAGTTATAAAATAAGAGCAAACAGTATTCAACGATAGACCTTACACGTATTCTAATTACTGAAGACCGAGGAATAAACAAACTCTTTACCCCGCTTTTTATATATGGTGCGCTACTGTGTGACATGCTTTTCCAGATAAATTCTGACTTTATATCTGAGTCCTTTAAGACTGGGTTTCGTGATTGTTACTGTGAAAGCCAAGCACAAGAATTTGTCACAAGTAAGTGTTTATGAGACAAATAAGTCGCTCAACGGATTTATTTCAATTACTTATCGTTTTGCAATAAGTGGAATTTGTGTATATTGTTGACCTTGAGCGATCTATCAGTTAATCAGGCAAAACTACCTTGTTACGAAAGAACTTGCAGCAAAGAGGACCATTATAACAGTGAAATTATACGTTTTGATCTTCATTCGAGTGGCTTCCCAGTTTTTTGTCTCTCCGATCTCCCAAGTTTGTGTAAATTTTTGGGTAACCTCGAAAGTCAAATGACCTTCACCAAGGTTATAGTGCAATATTACGGAACGTCCAGCAGATCTGGGGAAATTTCGGGTTTTCGGTGCTGTTTCCCTAAAAGTATCTGCAAAGTCTTCCACAAAACTGGGAGATCGTGTTCTAGCTACAGATTTATGAGACTTGGGATTGCAAGTAAATGTAAGGATTAGGGTGAGAGAATACTATCTAGCGTCACGAAGTATCCTTGAATATATATTGAGTCACATTAAGTACTTTCTCACACACTATGCCTTAGGAGCTGGTATGTTTTGTAATTTAGTTCAGGAATCACTTTAAATTCACTTTCTGGTTGCAAAATGCTTATTTTTGTTGATTTCAGGCATTTTAGAGATCAAATATTGTCAACATTTACACCTTGAGTAATAACATAAGAGTTGTCGCTGCAATTAAAACTTCGCGCAAATTGCACGAGACATCATCGCCGTTCTTATTGGTTAATTCGAGGGTGTCAGTGTATTGTACTTTTATCCTGCATGATGATTTGGTTTTTATTTATTTTCTTTGTGGCTGGGTATGGGACATAAAAACATCGAACAACGTAGTCGTTTTCCCCCTATCTGTAACTATACGTAGTTCCATTGTACAAAGTTATTTATTTATTTTTAACACAGGTGTCGGTACACGGATGCACCAAATACATATGCGCCACACGAATCTCAATTGATTTGTGTGAGGGCTGTGATACTGCCCGGGTGCTTAAACCGAAGCAGGTGGTTTTCTTAGTAGGCCACACCCCGAGCCTTCGACTTGAAGATCTGATCCACAAGGCAGCGGAGCATCGTAAGGAGATGAAGTCCCATGGTACCCGGTGACCAACGATTGGTTCATACGCCATTTGTTCGTTCAGGATACTGGAGCCCATGTGCACCATTAGTTTGGGATCCGATTAAAGCGCCGGACATTCGCTTTTCGTCCTCTCATTTTCGTAAACAACAGTAATGCCACGAGAAGGCAGTAAGTAGGACTTCCCTGACAGAGGCTATATACGCGTGGCCATGTGAGAGCATTTCGAGAGGAAGAGCGTACTCTCTCCACTCTCGGCCGTACCAGGGCATTTGGGGGCGTACAAAGTTGTAGTTAAATTATTAGTATATAAACTCTCTAAATGGTACTGAGTTTCAATTACTCCTTACTAATTACGTGTATGAATGTAGATTTTACGACAAACCGATTGTGTAATAAATGAAGTTGGGTAATGTCTCAAAAAGGAACAAATTGAACAAACAGATTTCTTGTGCTTCCTTTTCACCATGACGACAAATAGTCAAATAGTTTTGCTAAAGATGTCTGTCTTACATTTATTTAAAGTCTTTATTAATCGAGCTAGTTGCAGTTAATGTTATTTGCAATATACTAAGACCAGCTTGGTGCAGGGTAAAGGTTGCAAATAGGTTGATGGGGTCGTAAAATATCACATATGCTTAGCAACTACCTATTTCCTCAAGCGATGTTGTGTGATGTGGGAGTAGTCTGGAAGGAAGCTAGTGGTTGTTAAGTAAAGACATGCTGTTACCTCATAAATTCACTAAAATTTTAGACAAAGCTATATATACTGGTGTTGCTTTTTTAGTTTACTTTTAACTCTCAGTATTGAAATTTAATAATCTCGTTCACTAGGTGATTGAGTATGAGCCACATTAAGTCTGAGGGTTAATGATACTATCCGTTTGATCAAACTGAGTTAAGTGGAGCTGATTTCGAGCCTTGGGTGAAGGCCAAACGCTTTTCTTTTTAGGCCATATCTCTTAATATTAAGGCAGGTGCTTGTGTTTTCTGGGAAACTGCTTTGTTCATTTGCCACACGTATATTTCATTCTATATCAGAGGTGATCCAACACCGATTATGGTATAGATTCAAATGACTGAGTTTTTTTAGTTTTTAGGAATACTTATACTGCCGTTGTAAACAGCCTCTGAATTGCATGTGTTCGTAATCCTTCACCGCCAGGTAAGACTAGTTTCGGAAGAATAGACTAGATCCAGTAGTATTTTCTCGTTAATTAAGCAAAATATTTGCTATGTTTTATGGTAAACGGCTTAGATTACTCCTTGAGTTAATATTTATAAATCACATTACCAATCGACCCCGTATAACAGTGCTGACTTTATTCTCCAACTTATTATATGTGATGTTTGTTGATATTATTTTAAATGACAGGCAGCAAATAAAACTTAAGTTCGTTGATTAGTAGATGACCTACAAAAAAATGCTATTTGTTTATTTTTGATAGTTATTTTGTGCAGTATTGTACTGTTAATCACTTTCTCCATTTTCTGATGTTGGTTCACTTAAGGACTATGGGTCATTAAATTGGCTGTTGTATATGGTTGTCTTTCTGCTACATTTCATCAATGCCAGGCAATCAACAAATTTTTTCTCGTCTTAATGTTGCTGCTATATTTCGGTATTTTTTCAGATGAAAGTTTACTGCGACATATCCCTTTTACCTTTGCAAAGTTCGACAACTTCGTGCAGTTTAAACAGGAGGTGGCAGGTATATTGGTCTTTTGTTTCTTGAAGTTTGAATTCATAGAAACTATGGATACGAAACAGTTGGTTCAATTAGTAGAAGAGGAAACTGAAAAGCTGCCTTTTGTACGAAGAGGAAACGATCTTTTTGCATTCTATCAAAGTTGTGATGTTGTAAATGTGTGTCCAAACGAGAATTCTTCTAATACTTCCAAGTTTCCTTTACTTGTAAGCTTCAGGTAAGTATATCAGATGTTTTATATTCACCAAATATTTTTTACATAATGTTGTTCATAACACTGAAACTCGGTACATCGGAGAATGTCAAAAAGAAAGCCCATGCATTAAACGAATAAATCCACATGAACAGTATTTATTGAAAGATATGCTTCAAGTCGGATAACGATTGAGGTAGATCCATATCGGTTCAAAGATACATTTTACTTTTGTGAAGAGTGTAATTAAAAGCCAAAGCAAAACCTCGACTGGCTCCTATTCTGAGCCAGATCTCAACGTTCATAGCTTTATTTATTTTATTTATTTGAACACATAAATACTGGTACAAGGGGGCACCAAACACATATGCGCCTTACAAATCTCATTTGATTTGTGTGAGGGCTCTAGGTATAAGATCCACACCGATTTGTTTCTTCATACCCATTACTAGGATGTTGGGACTAAGTAGCCTTGCCTAACCAGACTGAATTATAAAAATGATGTGATATGTATCCCCCCATTACTTGAGGTCATTCATTTACTGGCAGAGAGAACAGTCCTATCCAATGAATTACTGAGGACCCTTATGTCAAAAAACAACAAAGATTAGCTAGTTCATTCTCAGTCAGTCTTTCATGCTTTTTGCTCAATCTCTAAGTATTAGAATAACCAAAATTTTGTTTGCAGTAGGTATCTGTCTTATACTCTGACAGTCATCATATGAATTTGATAGACTTTCTTCAGTTGATTACAATATAAAAACAATAATACTAATTTTTGAAAAGTATGCATGCTTTATTTCTCATTTAACGAAATAACTTAGTTAAAATTGGGGTTGATGTAAATGTATATTAACGGGAATCAATGTAGGAGAATTATAAGGATTGTTTATACATTTGACTACCATACTCAACACCATAAATATTCTGGAAAAGAAGCATGTAAAAATTCCTCTAAAAATATTAAATCACTGTTGATTGCGTAACACTAGGTCCAATAAAGACTGATCAAGTAGGTTGAGCCCAGATGAGATGTTATTAAATAGGAAGATTTTATAGTTGAGGGCTTGAGGTGCGATGTTACGTAACTGATCATTCGATCTGAAGCCACCAACAAAAGACAAGATGGACGGCAGTATCCTATCAGATGCACAAAGTCGGATTAAACAATCGACTGAGTCATCTGTCTAGTGATTATTTCGAAAGATTTCGAAACATCGACGTCTTGTTTATGACCAAGCAAATGATGGATTGCACTGCTGAAATTTATTATTTTATTTAAACACATAAATATTGGTACAAAAGAGCACCAAATATATTTGCGCTACACAAAACAATGAAAATTTGAAGAGGAGAGAAAAAAAGTAATGAACGTGGGGAATTATAAAAAAAAAGAGAGAGAAAACAATAATGGGGAAAACGGAAAGGTACAATCCGAAGAAATCTTTCAGTTAAGGAAGAAGCAACCACTTTTTATGATGAAAGTAAATAAGGTTACAGCAGGATCACCACTGGCTTCTATTCTGAGCCATATCTGATAACGTCTCTAGCCACTGTGTTGCACCATCTCTCGGACCCCAGCCAGGGAGTCGTAAAGGACCAACAGAAGCTAGCCCTTTGCAGCTTTCTTTCATACCACGACACCATGTCATATACTGACCACCTCTCCGCTTTTTCCATACAGTCCCAGAGTCGGCAAATAATGCACGACGTGGAATTCTCTGGGACGACATTCACACTGCTGAAAACATGTCCATGTAGCCTCACTTTTCGTGAAATATGTTAGGAGGTGCGAACGGTAATCCTTCTTCATATGCTTTCAGTACGTCTATTTTGGACTGTACATGTGAATTGGTAAATACAGTCGTAGGTAAAATGACAGGTGATTTTATCCACCTGTGACTGTTTGAACTAACAATTTGTTTGTCATAGAAAGGCATTTCGCGTTGTTGGAAGAACAATGTGGCCAATTTTGCTGAGGTCAGTGTATAATTTGGATTGTTCTCAGTTTTGCTTTGTCCAACGTTTGAGATACTTTTTAAAATTGCCAATAATCTCGTTGCCAGTTCCACAGAGTAGTCACTTGATACAAAGCTTCCTGTTGCTAGCGGATCGGATGTATTGAAACAGCTCTCGGTATTTACGAGATACAGCTGTTCCTTCTAACTTGTCAGCATAATCTGACTGTTAATTTTAACTGTAATTGCTACAGTGGGCCTATCAGACATTAGGCAAGCGACAAACACGAATGACCAAGATTTTGCTTCCTTTTCTGAAGGACGAAATACACTCCACCTGTCTTCGGACTGTTAGATGTGACCAAATCGTTTAAAATATTGGGTTTTGGGAGTTGACGAATTTGTCTCTGCTTAAGAAATAGACATAGTACATACATCTCATGTGGGCTTATGTCCTAAATAACAATACAACAAATGTGTGACCATTTGAGTAACATGAATACTATAAGCTTTTTATTCCCAATCGATATATAATCTTATTGTCCATCCTATACTTCAACGATTACGTAGAACGGTAATATGGAATGTCTGCCGAAAATTGACCTTTATCTCTCAGTATACTTATTCTGTGAGCTTTATCTGACTATAATCCAAAATAAATCTAGTTAAATTATTGGTTTACAAGCCTGAATTTATCTGATTTGATGACCCGGTTATGAAAGAGCTATCCGTAACTTTTGAGTAAAAATTGATATCCATCGAAAATTTTAACAAAACATTTCTTAATTAAAGTCGTAATGAAATTGCTAACATCTCAGACCATATGTAACAGTAAAATCCTGGCACGTCGTCCAAAAACTCTGAGAATAATATTCATTGCTACAAGATTAGTTTTTTCGCTCTCTAACTATTGAATATTGATTTCACGAAATCAGGATAAATCGTCAGACTCGGTCACCTTGACCTGTGTTTACCCATTCAAATGTTCGTAGAGAGCCCGTTACATTATTTATTATTATTTGAACGTATAAATATTGGTACAAGGGGGCACCAAATATATATGCGCCACACAAAACAATGATAATTTGAAGAGAAAGGAGAAAAAAAGAGAGAACATCAATGGGGGAAACGGAAAGGTACAATCCGAAGAAATCTTTCAGTTAACGAAGAAGCAACCACTTTTTATGAAGAAAGTAAAAGAAGGTTACAGCAGGATCGTCATCGGCTTCTATACTGAGCCATATCTGATAACGTCTCTAGCCACTGTGTTACACCGCCTCTCGGACCCCGCCCGTTACATTGAGCGTAAAACCATCCTTTGCGAAGGACAAAGAATTATAAGAAGCTCCCTCCTTACATGCTGAGTCTATATGGGCTATCATATCAATATGAATGTGATAATCAATCTAATCCCATCCAACTTACTCTACAGCTCCAAGTCCTTCCTCTTAAATGGTCTCAATACATAAAGATACGCTTGAGTAAATCTAATCTTTAGACCCATAAAAAGTCATGTTGGTAGATGCAGACTACTTGATTGGGGTCCGCGTGACTATCTTTATTGCCATGTTACTTACTTGCTTACTTACTTACGCCTGTTACTACACGCGAATGAGCATAGGCCGCTCACCATCATTCTCCATCCAACCATGTCCTGGGCAATCCTTTCCAGTTCTTATTCATTCTTTTCATATCCGATTCTATTTCCCGACGTAACGTGTTCTTTGGCCTTCCTCTTTTCCGCTTTCCTTCAGGATTCCAAGTTAGCGCTTGCCTCTTCAGCTGGAAGCTGGTTGGTTCTCTCCCACAAAAGTCTGTTGCAGATGGTTTCCGGCCAATGGATGTTGAGTATCTTGTGTAGACAGCTATTTATAAATACTTGTACCTTCTTGATGGTGGTTGTTATAGTTCTCCACGTTTCAGCTCCGTACAATAGGACTACCTTGACGTTCGTATTGAAGATTCTGACTTTGATATTGGTTGAAAGTTGTTTTGAGTTCCATATGTCCTATAATTGAAGGAATGCTGTCCTTGCTTTGCCAATCCTCGCCTTTACGTCTGCATCTGAACCTCCTTGTTTGTCGACAATGCTTCCCAGGTATGTGAAGGATTCCACATCTGCCAGAGTTTCGCCATCAAGAGTGATTGGATTGCTGTTCTCCGTGTTGTGTTTGAGGACCTTGGTTTTCCCTTTGTGTATGTTAAGCTCTACTGACGCAGAGACTGCTGCTATCCTGGCTGTCTTTATCTGCATTTGTTCGTATGTATGCGATAGGAGGGCTAGGTCATCTGCGAAGTCTAAATCGTCTAATTGGTTCTGAGCTGTCCATCGTATGCCGTGTTTTCCCTCAGATGTCGGGGTCTTCATAATCCAGTCGACCACCAGAAGAAAGAGGAAGGGAGAGAGTAGACAGCCTTGTCTTACTCCGGTCCTTACTTGGAATGTGTCTGTCAGCTGTCCTCCATGCACTACTTTGCACTGTAGTCCATCGTATGAGTTCCGGATAATGTTGACAATCTTCTCAGGAATTCCGTAGTGTCGTGTGCCATGTGATTATATCTAATTATTATCTGTTTATAATTTCGAACTTTATAATTCGAATACGATTTAATGCCTTAAATATGCTTCAAGTGATCTATCACTTTTTTTGAAAAATATCATGATATAGTAGTCATTTGCCTCTATGTAAACGAATTCTGTGTTGGACAATAGTGTATATCCACTATTGACACTATGTTATTGATATTAACGAGTTCCTCGGAATTCCAAAATTAAAAAAGATCATTCAGTATTTTTCATCATTAATAAAATTAGTCATTGAATGTTTTGTTGTTGTTGTCGTCACTTAGATATATATATTCTTCATTTAGAACATTTTTACTGAACTGTGTTCTTCCTTGGTTGAAAGACATAACTGGTATTCCACTTTATGAAAATAAAGTTGATTTAACTTCTTCACTTTACAAACATGGAGGTTGGTGAATTAACTGTTTAATATGGAAATTGTATTTTCTCTATCAGTAAATTTGTTTAATAATCATGATTTAGGACTTTGAACGGTTTCACAATTTTTGCATATTTGTAAATATAATTACTTGAGAAATTCATGCAAAATTCGCAATTTGTAATGATAATATCTATGTGATTCATGATTTCAACTATTAAAATTACTATAATATCCACAAAACCCCTTCTGGTATTAATCAACATATGCTCACTAGTGACTAGCTTCAAGAAGTATATCCTGGAGTTCTGGTGAGAAGCAGTGACCAGTGTAGTTCAACCGGGTCAGTTGTGAGATAGTAACTCACTGATGAAAATGGCGGATGTGTCGCTCAATTTCGTGGATTAGTTGAACTTAGACATCAATACCGTTGGATGTTGGCTCAGTGATCTTGTCGTTAAGCGCTCGCGCGCGAGACTGATAGGTTTTGGGTTCAAACCTCGCAGGGTGGGATCGTGGATGCGCGCTGCTGAGGACTCCTACACTAGGACGGAACAGTTGTCCAGTGGTTCCAGGTTTTCCATGGTTGTCTAGTTTCAATTGACTCATGTTCTCAACTATTAAAATATGTGTTGTATGTTTAAAAGTAATGAATAGAATAATCTTGAATCTAACATTCAATTATCAGAATGTAATCGCAGATTTCACGCTGATGAGTAGTTAGTTATTCCATTTGAGATTCTGTTTTGTATATTTTAAACGCTATACATTTCTTGAGCTAATATTTTCAAATTAAATTAATATCGATGATTAAGAACTTTTAAATCATCCGTTTTACTACTGTAACATGATTTCCATTATGTAACTCAAATAAATGTTATGTCACTAGGCCAATTATAGGATTGATGATGAAAAAATAAGTAAATGTTAGTAAAAATAGAAAAATGAAGTCAAAAAATTGCAAAGAAAATACAAAGAAATGATTCGTTGTTACAAATAAACACCATGCACTAACAGAAGTATAATAATAGTTCAGATTTTAAATTGTTCTACTTTCTTGAAATCTGTTTATTTGATTGGTTATTTGCTTATTTGCTCACCTGAATTGTTAAACCAATCAGATGGCTGTTTTGTTGACGAATGAAATATCCTTAGCTCAAAGGCAATTTTATCAACTGTTGAACAACCCACGAAGTATGACGGAAGCCAATAGCTTGGACGCAATCGGAAGTAGACTTATCCCCCGATAGTTGTTACAGGAACGACGTGAACCCTTTGTAAAGATAGGGACAACTATCAACTCATTCTATGACGTTGGTACGCTTTCTAGTTCCCAGACCTTTGTAAACAACAGTCAGTTACTTTGCCAGAAAGTCACCACCATCTTTAATAAAAGCCGGAGGTAAGTCATCTGGGCCCGGTGATTTGTAGTGTTTCAAGAGTTGGAGTTCTTTGCGGACTTCCGCCTCATTTGGTGGATCAGTCGTCACCGGCCATAGAGGGCAGGACAGTCTGACCGATGTTGCCGGATCAGCAGGCCAGTTGAACTGCCCTTCAAAGAATTCTGCCCATCGTCCAAGACGTCGATGGATGTTAGTGATTGGCATCCCGTCATCCTCGCAGATTGTTTCGCTCACACCACATTTGGTTAATAAAAGTAGTCAAAATAACTTGAATTACTGAATATTGGTAAGTAGTATAGTCTGGCACTGATATAGCTATACGATTAGAAAAATTAAAGTGCAAATATGATGCTAGAGGTTTCGTAGTGATTGTAAAATTTTCGGTCTTAGCTATACTAACATTAAAGACCTGGAATCATTGAACGGCCGTTTAATCCTAGTGCGCGACTGCTCAGAAGTAGACATCCATGAGGCTGCAATCAGTAATCGAATCCAGGACCTTTGGTCTGACGCTCATATGCTCACTACTGGCTGGCTCAAAATGCAACTCTTGGAGTTCTAGTGAGAAGTCATGAATGGTGAAGTCCAATCCTTGTTCGGTTTGGGACAGTTATCTACCATACGTGATTGATGAAGGTTGCGCAACATCCTGAACTGATTGAATTTAGACGTTAACAGCGTTGGATGCTGAGTCAGCAGTTTGGTTGTTAATGATAAGTCATGCAATTTGAATGTTATACTCGGTTCCTAAGCTATTCTTGAGACCCACAAGCTAGGACTATACAGCGACCTAAACATGAGAGAGAAGGCTCAAAATATGCGAAAAGTACTTTACTCCAAGGTTCCTTTTAATACAGAAAACAGAGGGTTTTTATAATATTCTAAATGTCCTTGGGTTGCTCGAAGATTCTGGAATGCTACTAAACATAGTAGCAGTGCAACAACCAGCCAATCAGAACCTCTACATGTGACGTTTCACATCCTTGATGTTTCTGAATAAACTGCAATTGAACGCTGATTGGATGAAATGCTTCTTAATGTTTCCTGATCCTTGCGTGTCTTTTGCGAGAATTTTTCTGGATCATCCCAACAGGATGACATTGCGGGACCTTCACATAAACTATGGAATGAGTGGATGAGAAAACCATTAACATCCGGAATTCATATGATGGAATACATTACAGAGTTCAGCATGGAGGAGAGCTGACAAACGCATTCCAAGTGAGGACCGGTGTCAGACATGATTGCTTACTCTCTCCTTTTAGCTTTTTTTGGGTTGACTGGATTATAAATACCTCTAAAATTCAGAGGAATCAAGGAATACAATGGACAGCTTGGAAGCAACTGAACGATTTGGACTTCGCACATGACTTACCACTTTTATCTCATACACACGAAGACAACTAGTGTGGTAGCAGCCTCTGCATCAGTAGGTCTCAACACACACAAGGGAAAAACCAAGATCGTCAAATGCAACACGAAGACCACCAACTCAATCACACTTCATGGGGTAGCTCAGAAACAAGTTAAGTGTTCGCGCGTGAGATCGAACATTATTGTTTGGGCTCCCGCGTTCGGGATTGTGAGTGTGCATTGGTGAATAATCTCTCACTAGAACGAAAACCTTGCCCAGTGATTCCGTTTTCGATGTAGGTCTAGCTGAGATCAGTTCGTGATTTATACACATTCATTAATAATCAGTAGTTATTTGTTTGACAAAGAAATAAAAACGTAGAATTTGCAACAGATTCACAAAAAATATTCGTTTTATTAGTAGGCAAGCAGCATATATTCAACAGAAACCATCAGGAAAAAAATTATATCACGCCTACAAGACGTACTATAAAACATTTATTATTTTATTTATTTATTTGAACACATAAATAATTGGTACAAATATATATGCGCCACATCAAACAATGTGAATTTAAAGAGAAGGGAAAAAAAGCTAAGGAGCATAGGGAAATAAAAAAAAACAAGAGAACAATAACGACCAGATTAGTGTGAAGTAGTGTAATAGTAGTAATAATGGGGGAAACGAAAAGGTACGATCCGAAGAAATCTTTCATTTAAGGAAGAAGCGGCCGCTTTTTACGAAGAAAGTAAAAGAAGGTTACAGCAAGATCGCCACTGGCTTTTATTCTGAGCCATATCTGATAACGTCTCTAGCCACTGTGTTGCACCATCTCTAGGACCCACTATAAAACATGTGAACAGTGCATTATTTTACGAATGCGAAATGCTGCTTGACATAATTTTTGTCTTTTCGGTTAAAAAAATGAAGTTATGGTAGCAGTTTTGAGTCAAAAAATCAGTTGAAGTCGAAGAATATAATAAATGGTATCCTGTTGTAAGAAAAAGCACTAGAAATTAAGGAAAGGATCATTTACAGATAGCCCAAGCTGATGTTATCTAGGAAATCTGTAGAAGTAGGCATCTCAAATGAATTGTTTGAGTGTTCATGTGGCTGATTCATGACTTCGTTAGGTCAGTTACTTGTTTATTGATAAAATTAATCGCCTTCACTTGATAAAGCAGACCAAAATATACACTTTGAAAGCAATCTTTTGTGATGGGGCTTGCTTCGCAGAAACGTGACCTATCTATGCATTGGGATAAAGGTCGTACGCACTGCCTTCTCGTGGCGGGGGTGTTGTTTACAGAATTGAGAGGACGAAAAGCACATGTCCGGCGCTTTAACCGGGCCGGTGGACACGCTGAGTCCACCTTGGGGATTTGGAAATCCCTGATTCCAAACCAATGGTGCATATGGGCTCCAGGATACTGAAAGAGCAAACGGCGTATGAATCAATCGTTGGTCACCGGCTACCATGTGACTTCATCTCCTTACGATGCTCCACTGTCTTGTGGATCAGACCTTTAGGTCGAAGGCTCGGGGTGTGGCCTCTTAAAAAACCACGTGCTTCGGTTTGGGCACCCGGGCAGTATCACTGCCCTCACACAAATGAAATGCGATTTGTGTGGCGCATATGTATTTGGTGCCTCCTTGTACCAATATCTATGTGTTCAAATAAATAAATAATCTCTAGACGTCTAGTCGATGGCTCTATGTTCACGTCTTATAGATCTATTTAATCAGAAATGTCGCTGCGAAAGTCACAAAAGCGAAACGTTAAAATGTTTCCTGACAGTATGAAAATCGAACATAAATTTGTTCATAAGATTCGTTCTACATAATCTTTATTTTTGATCCCTGTTTTAATATTTTGACCTAGATTACCTTCTCTGCCATGATGATAAACTGGACGGTCGTCGGGTAGCGTTTATTTGGTATCTAGTTCCTGATAGTTGGGACAGTCAAATAGATGGAGGTGAACTACAGTTGTTTGAGAGTCAGCGAATGACCGATGACAATAATGACGAGAATTATTTTCCAACTAAAATTTCCACAACGATACCTCCTAAACGCAATATGTTCATGTTTTTTGAAGTATCACCTCGATCATTTCATCAGGTAACTGTATGGTACAAAGTATTTATGATTATTTTGGGTAGAGTTATCCTAATTAACTTAAAAAATGAAACCCAGTTAAATACTACGTGTTCATTTGGTCATTATTAAGTAAAATGTTTGATGTGAGATTTTCTTATACTGTCGGGTTGCCCAGGTAATTGTAAAACTAATAATTCAAAACAGCTGTTCTATACTTCAGGAATCTATATCACAATGTGTTTATATACGTTTTCTAGACGACCTTACATTTGGCACATAGTGTTCGACTTGACGGATTATATAAAACATTTCCAAACTACTGTGTTAAATAAAAGTTCTAATAAATATAATCAGACATTAGCAGCAGCCTCATGGCTTTATCATCTATTCAAGAGCAACTTATAAATAAGATGAATTAGGCAACAATTTATTGACCATTGTCAACTATTCAATGTGACAATATTTACAAACTTTAACTGTAACATTTAACTTTAAATTAATCATCTATCATGTATTGCAACAATGTAACTTGTTCTATCTGAGCAAATGTATGTGGCAAGACTACAGCAAATGGTTCACTTTCAACAACCGATAAACACTTTACAGATCCATTAGTTGACAGCTTTAGTATTTTTGCTGTTCGCAGATATCATAGTTGCATTTCACAGTCTAATGGACTTAGCGAATAAAGAAATAAAACAGTTAGCAAACTATTTTAAAGACACGAATTGGAATGTCAACAGGGCGCTAAAGTTGTAGCAATCTAGTTTTCGAGATTTTATGGAACATCCACATTTCTGTTGTGAAAGATTTCCTCTAAACAAATAGTGCGATAGATAGGTAGCATGGTGGTTTTTACCAACTCATTGGGGCTGCTTATCGAGATATTTGGGAATTCACTGAGACTCTAAGAACAAATTCATTTTAACTGAATTTAAAATTAGACAGTTTTAGTGACCCAGCAACGGCACGTGAAAATGAATTAAAAGTAGGTAACATCGCCTATTAAAATGACCTTAGACAATTACAGGAACAGAACAATACTGGATGGAGTATTACACGGAGTATCGTATACTTTGAATCTGTACATTTAGACATTTTAAAAATGTGTTATGAAAATCTGGACATTAAAGTAACATTTGCATCTGTATAACGTTAATGAATCATCATTTTGATTGTCGCTCTTGATTTATGATATATATCGGTAATATAATTTTGTTATCCGCTCATAAGGGTGTGAGTACGTAGGCGACTATCAAAATAATTAATATAAAAGAGTTCACATCAATAAGGGTGACCATCAGAAAGGCTCATATTACTAAAAGTAAGTTTTGAAATAGGAAAAAAATTTCGAAGATTATGTTCAGTTGACTGACTGTCTATCCTCACGCCTCAGCAATCAATTGAGAACATAGTTTTTCAAACTTGTTTGGATCTTCCCATTAGTGTTTAAGTCTGAAATTGACCAGTCTCTTTTAAGATACGTTTATCATGTGCAGATGACCTCGATAGTGCCATAAAGTCATAAGGATTTTAATCAGAGAAAGGTGTTGGTTGGAAGCGGAATTCAGGACGCTCGTTGCTTCTTATTTCAGACTTGTCATCTGGTTATACGTACATCTCAAAGTATTAATAACTAATTAAGTATATAAAAAATAACGTATTAGAGTTATGTTATCTTGAGGGCTTACATGTGAAGCTTTTGCTCGCATAGCTCAAGTTTGAAAGGATGAGCCACTAACAAATCTGCTGCGAACTCATCTATAAGATATTGTATTAATGTAGGATTTTTAATTTAATCTAACTAATTTAAGTACTGTTTAAATGTTTTTAGTTACCAAGCTTCAAACATTGTTGTTGTAACTGGGATGAAAGATACTCTTATATAAATACTTGATAATCATATGTTACTTAATGATAATAGCATCAAATCGGCCTAATAAGTTCAACCTGTCCATTTGACTAATATTAAATAAAATCTAGTCATTTGACTTTTATTATCGCGGACGTCAATAATTTACAGAATAGTAGTTCGTATTATTTTCCTGGAGAACATTAAGTACAATGTTTTCAAGAATACATGTCATTATAAATGCCATGTATGACCTTAATTTTGAAATTAAGACATGTTTTTAACATTTAAAACTCATTAAACGTGAAATTTACCAAACATCCTACGGCTGAAACGGAAAACCAATGAGGTATGGGAGAATGGGGGATTTAAAAAAACAACTTTTTAGCACTTTTTTGTTTAACAACTCCGAATTTAATACGATGAAGGAGACTACTTCCATCTCTTTCTTCCCTTCCAGTTTTGTATAGAAGCCTTGCTGGTTAAGAGCTGAAGAAGAATAAAATCATATTAAACTTAACTAGTTTTATATCGATTCCACTGATTATAATTTTTGAACTGGGCAATTATCACTGAATACAAATCTTAGTCAACATAGGCTGAAAACGTATGAAGCAACGAAAGTATGTTGAAAGTTGACATTAAATCAGGATTGATATTTTCCCCATAAGTTGTATTTTCAGATTTTACATCTCCAAAACTATACATTTGGCAGTAGCGGAAATCTTGAGGTAGTGGTCAGGTTTGCTTGTTGTGATGACCTAATAGTTTTTCATTGGTTAAAACACATTGCTTCATGTCGATTGGAAAACGGTAAGACTAAAAGCAACAACCTTAGTTTCAAATTTAATATGTTGCCATCAGACAACAGGCATCCGTATCGATATTGTCTTCATACAACGGAAGAAGGAGGTTTCAAATGATCTCCTCTAAAAGTAACACACCTCGTTTTTTGCTCAAGATTTCCGTTGCCAGTAGTCAGGCCTTTCAGATATTGAGCTAACTCATCAAGAGCTACTCACAAAAAGGCCGTTTATGACCAGCTTCAAGCAGTTGTTCCTTGGAGTCTGGTCATCATTTTAGACAGATGAGACTACTGCTTATTCAGTTTCATTTTCAGGTACTTCAAGGAGAAATATCCTTCTACCATATGTGGGCAACTGTGAAGTGATAACCATCCTCGAGTCTAGCAACACTTGAAATCAGGTTATCTACAAACAAACCCCTTCATAATTTTTATAATTTCTTCATGAATTCCTGATCACAGCGGTAGGGAAATTTTTTAAAAACATTGTCAATCTGTGTTTTGTTGTTTATCGAAGTAAAAACGAAAGTTATATTTTAAAATTTGTTACAAATTCTTCTGAGAACACCTTTTAATTGATTTATAATATTAGTTATGATAATTTAGCGTTCATCGTTTTATTTCCGTCGTTTAGGTTGCAGAAGTATTTAGTCATTCTAAGCGTTTATCATTACATGGATGGTTTCATGGACCAAGTCTATGGACTGTAGATAATAATAATATAATGCCGTCCGTTGAGAAAATTTCTCCTATACACATAGAGGTAAGTTTTTTAAAAGATATTTTCTCTAATCTTATTTGACTCACATCTCGTGTGTCAGCTAAAGATTCCTGCACCTTATCAGATGATTCACTGAGACTCAAGTTCGTTCCCTTATTAGTCTTCGACTGCTGCGAAGGTGGATCTGACGCGATCATATAGACGGGGGTGAGTTATACGCAACGGCACTTCAGAGATGAAAACTGCACGCTAGTAAAAAAAGAAGAAATACCATTTTCATGAAAGATTTGATATTTTAATATGAGAAAATTATATAAATAGACATCGCAATATTCCTAGCTTTTTTACTAAATATAGTAGCCACTAGAAGTAGTTGTGATTTGTGTGACATTAACACATTGCAAAGGTCGACAAATTACTGAGACATGGAAGATCACAACAAGTGTTGCTTTAGCAACCCCAGCATGTCACAATAGTATTTAATTTTGGTCAACCTTAACATATTGCCAATATATTTAGACTATTTCTCTTTACCCAATAATGATGCATCGTACTAACATGCCGAGATAAAATATAATAGGACTTCTAAACTATAGATTGATGGTGGTACTGTCCTAATGTGAAGGTTTTAGAAGCTGATTATACGCGTGCTAAACTATCGCTTTTGATTGACACATCAAACCTTAACCTTTAGCATAAATGAGAAACCACTTCACAGAAAGTCCGCCTCTGTTTAGAATCTAATTGTTTGTTTGATGGACTGTTGAATTCAAATTGATGCTTTGTAGCTGACATTTGTGTAAGTCATTCATATCTCCTGGGCAATAGAAATCAAAAGAAGAATAACCGATTACTATTTTGAATCCTTATTGTATGTTTTGTGGTAGCTGGTATGGAACATCAAATACTTATATTTCAAAATCAAGCAAACAGTAGTCTTAAAGAATAGGACAAAGCACCTACCCTAGATTACGCAACTGTCTACAATCTTAGTATACCAGGACTTGTGATCAAAACGTTTGATCAATTTATCTATTAAATATGATTATATATCAACAAAAAGTAATCAAATGCAGTCCTCTAATATCAAGAACGGGAAAATACAAATCTTCACTTACTGTGTCCTAAAGTTTTGCTTGGATTATTATCCCCAAAAGACTATAATTGTTTAAATAAGTTTCCTATCATTTGTGCATCTTACATATAGAGCATAGTATTGAATTTATTCTACTCCCACACATACACACACACATCTACTGTCAGCTTTTCGCCTAATTGACGACTGTCATCCGACGATTTTAACTTTCAAACAAGTGGAAAACAAATCAAGTTACTGCTTAGTCAAACACAGATTCTAATCACATGATCTCTACCTTGACGATAACACTTCATTGTACAAATGTTCCTCATTTCTGGTCCGTATCAGAAAATCCAAACTACACTAAATAAATCACAAAACACTTGTGTACTTAACTTTTCATTTAAATATCTACTATGATGGTTCATTATAAGCTATGTTGGATATTTTTTCTCTAATTCGACACTTCAAAGTTGAAAAATTAACCTCTCATATTAAGTTATTGAAATTTATGTCGAAATCTTTGGAATTAATGATTTAGGACACTCAAGGGATTAGAAACCGTGGTGCAGTTAAATTATTTTCATTGATTGTTGGGTTCAACTTCAAGTTCCATTAATTAATATCTCATTGTTTTTTTGATTTCAGGAAGAACTCGTTTATCAATGGATTAATCCAGTCTACTTTGATACGGAACAACTACGCAAGATTCGACGAAAATTTTGTCGGTCCTCAGAAATTCAGTTAACTAACTTTATAAAAGTAAATTCTACTAAGATATTTGAAACATGCTCTTTATCGGTCGGAATAAGATATGACTTGATTTGTGAGTATGAATATTAGAGAAACTGTCGAGTATAACTACTGTCTATTAGTTTTGCTAATATACTTAGTTGTATCATTCATAATACGTTAGGAGAAATCAGTTTCTAAAATATATTGAAATCATTTAAAAGGGAATAATATTTACAATAATGATTATTAAATCACTTCGACGAGCTCCACCAACATAATACTTGAATCGTGTATAAAGAAGTCTGTGTCTTCTGCTTTGATATCCGGTGGTTTCAGTGTGGCGGGTTTATTCAAGTGCTCTACGTAGCTATTCCGCTGCTCTCGAAAGTTGGTGGTTGACTCTCGTTCTTTATTCGTGACTGGGCACTTTACTATATTTCCCCACAAGCCTGTTGGTTGTACTATAGAGTTCTTTCGTATTTCATTCTCTTGAGACTTGTTCTGTCGTAGTTTTTAAGTTTTCTAGTGCTGTTCTTCATTTATTTATTTGCTTCTGTATATAGGTCTTGTGTCTTGGCTCTCTGCTTTAATTGGTTGTTATTGTTGACTGCTGTTTTCCTGTTTATCCTCTCTTTACTGTTGCTCAAACTGTCTACAATGATCCATCATTTATCCTGATCTTTGACTTCTCTTCTTACTGTAGTTTCTTTTTAATACATTTCACTGTTGATTTATTTCTCTGACTAATTAGCTCCATATCTTACTAGCAGTGTGCATTATGAGAATATTCTATACTTCATCGTAAATACTTGTTTTTTTCTTTCATTTATTTAATTTAGACAGATAAATGGATAGAACTTGTTCAATGTTTAAAAGGCATATCTGTACATAATTGGCTACATTGTGGCCCTCCCAATAGAAGGTGATTATTAAACTAATTATTGGTTTCATCTGTATTTTGTAAGCTGAAATTTTCTAAATGAAATCTACATCATAATACTGTATAACTGAATTATTTATGAAGTGTAAGAATTATGATCATTTCTAACTATTTATATTATTTTCTGTGACCATGATAAAATATTTCATTTAGATATGATCAAATAAGTGTTCGGGTCATTTTCATCAATAAAGTGACATTCTTGTATGCTAGAGAACACTAAATAACTGTTTTAGTCTAGTTTTTATACTTTTTAGCAATTTGTACCAACCACACTATTCCAGGATATCATCCAATTTCTTTAATTTGAATCCTAGTTACTTGTCAATTGATCTATAAATCATAATTCTGTAATCTTCAATTCTAACTTCATAGAATTAGAATCCATCTTGAATATACTGAAACATTTTAATCTAATTATTTATTACATTCATTTTATTCATCTAACTGACAATTATAACTAGTTATATAAAATAAAATAGATATTTATTTTAATATAAAAAGTTATTTGTCATTTAGTTATGTAATCTCTTTATTAATTTAAAAAGAAATAAATCATATCTATATTATCATATAGTATATATGATGATAACATTCTACCAATTATCTAGAACAAATATCGATTTGATGTTTGATTATGTTGAATCAAAATGAAAAATAGTTACTAGTAGGAATTTTAGTTTACATGTACCACTCTTTAACATAGTCATACTGTAGTGAATAAAAACATGAGTAGGTAAAATTGAATGTATTTGACACGTAATTACAAAACATCTCACTAAAATCTGAGAACCACAATGGTGGATGTGTCGCTCAATTTCGTGGATTAGTTGAAGTTAACACTGTTGGATACCGGCTCAGTTGTCTAGTGGTTAACTGGTAGTTCCTGGGTTCAAATCTCGCAGGCGGCGAGATCGTGGATGCGCACTGCTGAGGAGTCCCATAATAGGACGAAACGGTCGTCCGGTGCTTCCAGGTTTTCCATGGTGGTCTAGCTTCAGCTGACTCATGATCTCAACTATTGCTATATAACTTTGCTATGACATTGTATAAATGCATGTAAATATGTCAATTACATATGTTCATCTACAGTTGAATACTGTTTATTCACATTTAAGATTTTTAGAAGTTCCATTAGTCCAATCACTTATATTTATTTAATAATCTTACAAACTACACCTTCTACAATTGATTGATCACTGGGTAGTGATCAAAAGTCATGTATGTCAGGTCGTTCTTAGTGTAGATGAAATCCTATTGACCAAGTTGCAATGTGATCATCAGTCTAGGTGAATCGACATTGAGGTGTGATGGTGGTTGGAGGTAGTCAACAGGAAACATTAGGTGGTACGGGATCGTATCCATCGGCGTGCATCAGTTCCCTCAAGATTGCAGGTACACGTTGCTGATGAGTGCCAAGTAACACAAAACCCAGATCAAGAGTTTCCTGTTGACTATCTCCAACCACTACACCTGCATATCACTTAACGTAAATGTGATTGATTCCTTTCTGATCGCACTTGAATTAATACAAAGAAAATTTACTCAGGAATCTGTGTTTGGACAATAACAGTAATCGTAAAAACGTCTTTATCCCTCAGCATCAATTTCGCTACTGTAAGAAATTCTCAGCATAAATTGTCCATTATTGCAACGGAGTTTTGTTTAGCATTTATTGAAATTTTAAATTTTCAAGAAAAATGTATTTCATGTACGTCTTTCAGTACTCAGCATTTGTCACCGATCTTCATTTACGAAAGTTTTACATCATTTCATCTTTTGTAATTATTTTCTCCATTAATTGATGAATTATGATAGACAAGTTAGTGATATAAAACTGTGGAAGTAGATTTGAAACGGTGATCAAAGTCAACCGAGATTTGTTCAAGGTAAAAATGGAGGTAGAAACTGTTGACAGGATGTTTTTTTTCTAATTCAATTTTCAAATAGATGATAACCAACAATACAAATAAACACACATCTATTGATGGATTTCACTTGGATTCGATGATTGATCCATCGATATCACCATCATCAATTTGACACAGAAACACCTTACAATAAAGTGTTTTTTTCAGAAAACCAGCATAACAGCGATGTTACCTTCCCACAAGGAGGGTGGGGTTAGAAAAGGTCGACTCTAAAAATGCACACCTCGCCTTACCCCACGAATATCCGTCTCCGGCGGTAAGGTCTCAACAAGTACAGAGCTATCATGAAAATTACCCACAAAACGGTCGTGTGTGACTGACCTCAAGCAGCTGCAGTCACGCACTCGGGTCTCTGAGACCACTTTTAATCCAATTTTCTTTTCAGGTACCTCCAGAAGAACCCCTCCAGGGTGTGGACGACCGGGAAGTGATAACCGTCCTCATATTTCCAACGGCACTGAAGACCACTGTATTCATAATCAACCTCCTTATCAATTCGTTTTTTTATTCCATCCTAACTATAATTCCTGTGTTTCAATTTGAGTTTCTCAATAAGCCTTTTATAGTGTGATGGGGTGTAAATACAATAGTTGACATTCATTATTATCCCGATCAAATAAATTGGAAACAGAGAGATTCAAATATTTGGTCGGTTGAAAAATAGGTAACTCGAACGTATGTAAATGCGTAGAAGGGGGTCCTTGGTACAACTGAAATTTTGCTAATAATCTACTGTTATTGTGGTATATAAATAACTTTCTTTTCATTTTTTATATTTTACATAGAAATTATCATTGCTTATTCAACACAGATTTAAACACCATACCTGATATCTGTACACAAATTATTCGTTTGTTTAAATCAGAAGCTATGTTAGTCATATTGAGTGATATCACTGGTATTCAATTACATCCATGTAATTTGATCAATGATATTCACAATAATACTGTTGTCAATGATAATAATATTGTGAGTTGCATTTTTCATTAACTGCTTATGGTATATTATGCTGAGTAGCTCGATGATTATAGAACTATAGCCTCGTACTCTCGAAAGTTGATTACCGAAATATAACTTTCGGATAATTGAATTGTATAGCGTGAACATGCAATTTTAGTAAACCAAAATCTTACTAAATTTATGACAGTTCCACCAATGTATTTCTGTTTAAATGAATCTTACACAAATGTTTCACCATACTTTGAGTTTCTTCATGAATCTATACTTGACGCTCTTGGAATGCTGGTCAGAGTTATATCACCGAGACTAATCAACCTTTTTAGTTAGATAAAATGAGAAATACACTCCAAATATCCTAGCATTGTTACTCATAGTGACCAGATGATTACATTTTGCCAGCATGTTCTCCAGACAGGATCGTCATGCAAGTATTTTAGGTAAATGAATTAATGTCCTTGGAGATGTTCAATTCCTGAAAAGTTAAACGATGGGAGAGTTATTTTTAAGAGAACATCTACGAAAAAGTTAAATCTGACAGTTAGCCATAAGCTCTAACTCAACCTTTAGCGTTTAAATAGAGAGCCTTTATAATGTTCATGTACTTCCTTCGTATGTCGTTCCATAGCAAATGTTGCCACATTAACCTCTCAGTCAGTGAATTCGTATGTTACGTTAAGGTCCGGTGATTCAACTATGTTCAGTATTTGTTAAGTGTACCTACTCTCTATAACTTGACGAAGAATATGTATTTAATAAAGAGGTTGTATTTAGTTTCGGGTTTTTTTTTTGTATAAAACTATTACTCATTGTCATATTTGTCCGAATTTATACATATTTCTGTTGGATGTTCATTTTTAGACTGATGAAAATGCACCTCAATCTAAGCGCATGAGAACTGAAGATACTGTTAATCTCATCTCTACAAGCGATGCTGATCAAGACTGTCTACCATATTTAACTGAACCTTGCCTACGTAAACTTCAACCAGGCAGCTATACTTTACTATCAGATGCCGATATGACTGATCAAGGTTGGAGACTGGATTGTCTACTGCATATCCATGGATATGGTTTAAAATACCATCATAATAATAGTAATAATAATGAAACTCAACTTCATGGTAAAAATCCTCAGTCAAATTCATCATGGAGTGGGCAAACAGTTTATGTTGCTGATGGTGAAGAAGATGAGGTATGTCAGTTTAATCATCATACATAAAAGTACTCGCACAAATAAACTTTCCGATGAAGTCCATGAATGTAACTTACTGAACATAGATAAATTTGTGGATTGAAATGTAAGCCATACGTATTGTATGAAGACTTACAACTCAATGGTTCAAAAAATGAGAATCATAAACTACAACCTTGTATAAGCTTCTGTATTTTTCAAAATATGTATTAAGTCTTTATTATAGTTGCGTTAAGTGATATTTCAATGTCTCTAGATCAGCTAAAAAATTTCAATTCGAACTCCAAAATGAACAAAGTGTACTCCATCAACAGCATAGTAACAAAACTCTTCAAGGATGATAAAGCTAAATTCAAATGTTACTAGTTTCCGCTGTAATCAAGTTCAGATTTGTATATTCATCTTCTGGCGATGGATTATTCTATATGAGCGATAGCAATAGGTGGTAACAGTTCTTTATTCAAACCAAAGTAAATATTGTGAAATTCAAATGTGTAACCCCTAATGCCTGAAAATTAAATGTTACGCCAATGCAAAATGTTCAATTTAACGGACTGCCTATATTCGTTTATTCTATGCTTCATTTTACCGGGGATTTTTTTCTCACTCGTCATTTTTCACGTATAACCCAGTTAAGTCATAAGCAATTATTGTATGTGGGTAAATGATATATCTCAAAGAATTATCAGATTCTTCAGAAACACTGAATAGTTGTTTTATCTTACGTTGCGACTCCTCACCAGTGCTCACTCACAATTCTAACAAAAATCAAACAAATGGTCTCATCACTCATACAATTTTCTATATCCGGTATGATATTCTATTGTAGCGTATCAAATGAACTCGGTAACGACTGTTTAAGAATAGTTGCTGACTTAAATATTAAAGAAATATGTGCTCGATTTTTATATGTGCACACTTTTTCACTTGAGTAAATAACGATATAATATTCTGAGGAACATTATTTCTAGTTGTAATCTCGTCCGAAGTTGAATTTACACTAGTAATAGCATGATTACTAGAACCCATTGTTATTGAAAAGGTAATCACTACTTAAACCATTGGGTTTTTAAATCCATCTTAAAACAATAACAGCGGATTATACCATTTTTAAGATTATTAATATTATTGAGAGACAGGTTTGCAAATTTGTTCATTATTGCAAGGGCGAGTGTAAATAATAACTTCAAGCTCTTTAAGCGAAAATGGATAGTGGAATCCAAGACGCGCGTTTCGTCCTACTTGGGACTCGTCAGCTGAATGTACACGCATCCCAGAGTTGATATTCATTCTGGGACGCCGTCGCGTTATTCACTGAGCTACTGAGTCCTGATATCTACCTGCTTGTGCTTGTACTTGATCAATTGCAGTCCTATATAACAATGCGAATATACAAGTAAAACAACACCAAGTGAATAACTTCAAGCCCTAGTTATTGTGTTATTCCTATACACAAATACATCACAACAACCGAGTAGTATAATGTATTTTCCATGAGAACTTAGACTTGACGAGGGTAGGTGTTACGTAAGAGCCACCATTTGTATTTCGAGAATGGTAAAATCTGTAAAATTACACAACATACGGATAGCAGTTAATCAACTCCATGTTTACATACAGAAACATTCACTATATTTGCTAACATTTATATTGATTTACCGAAACGTGAAAATCATTCTTAGCGTTTTCTCGTCGTCATAACTTTTTTTAAGTTAAATTTCGCTAATATAAAAGCAAATTCTAACAGATTGCTATGTTGAAGCGATTACGAGTTCACTTAGTCTGTGAACGGAACAAAGAGATGTGACCAAAGAACAATAAACTAGCTATTCTGTTGCGTCCAAGCCCCTCTAACTAGAGAGACATGTCGAAGTCCGGACGGGGAAGTATATTTCGCAAAAAGCCAGAAGCACGAGCCATAACAGCATACAACTGTCCTTGGGAAGCGTTACAAAATAGCATACTAAAAGACACAACGGACCAATAGCGTTTAAGATTCCCCCAAGTGAAAAATACGACCTGAAGGTGAAAAGAGCGCTTTTGGCGCGAAAACAAAGAAATTCAAATCTTCAAAATAAAATTACAAAATTAGGTCCTTTTTCAAGTGAGTTCTGGGGATCTAACGTCCCCAACACAGATGCATTTGTATTCGATAAGTGACGCTTTCAGGCTCTGAATAAATAAACCAACCGAAATTATTGAACCTGGAGGTTTTAATTTTACTTTGACACCACTGGAAATAAAGAGAAAAGTTGAATCTTATTTTTTGCTGAGTTGAGAGTATGGAATTCTCATTTTTCTTTAATGTTGAGTTAATGAAAGAAGCAAACATTCTGTCAATGTAAATCTTAGTTTTGTTCATAAGATGATTACTTCTTTAACGTTTATGGTTCATACATTTATTAACGACTTTGTTAAGTAATAAGCATTGCTTCACATTAACCCTAATTTAATTTTAACTTCTTTTCTTTAGCTTCTAACTGTCACACCGTCAGATAATTCTTTGACTTTAGTCTATGCTGGTCCGGGTACAACTAGTTTCTTGAAATATATTAACCATACAACTAATCACTTTCTTCCAGAGAAGAATCAGATTATCAAACAAGATGATTGTAATCCTTTGACAACTCCTGATAAGTTATCCTGCTCGAACACAGATCATATGAACAAAGATCCTATTCAACTTTTTGATTTATTAATTAAATACTTCGAATCAAAATCAGATCCTGAGGATGTGAATAGTCTTCAAAGTGTTAATAAGAATGAAGTCAGTAGCATCAGTAGTCAAAGTGAAGAAGAATCATTTATGTCATCTTTAGATGGTGACAGTGATTTACAGAACGACGAGGATGAGGAAGTGAAAGTGATAAAATAAACAACTGGTGCTTATGCATGTGTAATATATATTTTTCTGAATAGCCGAAATCTTTTATATTTTTAAAGCTGTTCTACATCGATTCTTTTTTATATTTAACTATCTTTAATTAAACATCGTTGAGACACTTTCTTCAGTCATAGCGACTACATAATACAAAGTAAGGAAATTACTTCCTTGAGATGATTGTCTATTTTCTGAACAAATGTATGTTGAATAAAACATCCTGCTGTCTCTGGATAGTAATCAATATCAAGTATTTTTAATCTGACTTCAACTGACTATCAACCTCCAGAATTACAGTTTGCAACCTTAATGACTCCTGTTAGTCTTAGTTACTGTATCGCTTGTTACCAGCTTCAATCTCTGTTACGTCCTTGATCTGTCTATCCAATAATATACAGGAGGGAACTTGTCTCGATCTACATTAAGGCCTTAACACGATATGCCATCTGGTTTTACCATGAAGCTAGAAATGCATGAGTCCAAATAGCGATTAACGGTCTTAAGTAAAGGAACGAGAACTTTTATATCACCTGATTGGTTGGCAAGCGAGAAAGAGAGGATGAGTCTTCTGTATCATTATCCGATTCATTGCTGATTCCTAATTCATATTAATGTAAAATGATGCATGAATCAATAGATGACTTACATGAGCACCAGTGTGTTTCGAAACCTATCTCTTGTAGATGAATTACACTGAAATAGAAGTAATCTATTCCAGCATATACATTGATTGTGGTGTCTTTCTCCAAACCCTAAACGTCACATTGTTCCATAAAATTCACCCATTCCATTTAAATTTTTCTCATCACCTTTTTTTAAATAAAGTTAGAGAAGTGTGTTTCATCATTCGTTAACATAATAATAGATAATTAGACCACTATATTGGATAACTAAGAAACAAATAAAGCTAGAAGACAGTTTTACTAGCACAAATACAAGTAGTTCACGCGCTGTCAAATCCAGACAAAATATCTCTAGTGATTCAGAGATACAACACAGAAATAATTTGTATTCCTAATTGCAGACGGGCGTCTCGGTCGTTTATTGGTAACAATTGATCGCCTCCACCGGTCTCGTACTACTATAGATGCTGATTTCTCTTTTCTGTGCTGATGTGGTGTCAGAATTTTGCTTTAGTACAAATGATGTGGTCACCGTTGTTCTTTCACTTGCGTTTCGATCTAACCATCATACAGTTAAGGTTTCTAATTACAATGCTGAGTGATTATTTTCTTCACGATGACATAGGTGGAGCTCTTATTGTGATCCATAAACGCCTACACCATGAAGTTAGTTTATTATGTGAGGAATCGTATCAAACGACTGTCACCCATTCTTTTCTACTAGCTGTTAACTGGATTATTAAGACGTCCACGTCTTAAGAAAGCCTAGGAATACAATGAACGCTACAGACGCGTTTGAGTGACTTTAACTTTGAAAATGATCTAGCCCTGCTATCGCATACACAGCAACAAATCGAAATGACTTATGCAGATATATGTCTTAACATTGACATTGGAAAAATCAAGCGCCGGAAATACAAAACATTTATATGTTTTCTCTAAGATGATAAACCATATCAGTACAACAGAATACAATTAAGAAGACAAGTTAAAATTATGATATGAGATAGCTGAAAAGTGGCTAGTATTTGAATGAATGACGAACCGTTATGGTTTCACCAGGTAGTGATGAAGTTCACTCTGGCAATATAACCCAGTATCTTCCTATTCAAACTTCTAACGCCAGCCAATAGCTTCACTTTGTGATGAATTATCACTTGGTTCATCTTGAGGGAACTTTGATCAGTCTTGGTGCATGTTCATTCATACTCCTTATGTAATTTAGTAGCCGTCTGGAACCTTGGTTAACGGATAACGCATTTTGCGCCTGAAGCGAAAGACACTGTGCTGGAATCTCAGTGTAGCGAAAACTCTTGGATCCATGTGCATCCAACTGAGTCTCAAATAGAACGAAACGTTAGACCTGGATTCCACTGCTAGCTATATATTTCACCTATTCTATAAGCGTGTGTGTCAAATGATTACACGGGGATGATCCGCACATATACCATCATGACGCAGTCAAGCTCATCAACAACAAGATAACTACAGTCAGTACAAATTTAAATATTTATGATAGCGAGAAATATGTTTTACGACAAGATGTAACAGGATGCTGAACTACTAAGATAATGTATGAATCAAATAAAGACCAATGATAAATCGACTACTAATCATGTTCCAATAAATAAGGGTTCCTTGATTTATCAAAATGAATATATTGCTAAATTAGATAGCAACACACCTAACGCAAATGAGATACCTGATTTCCTTGGTGATAGTAAGCATGAACAGACCATAATTTAAAGTAAAATGTTTTTAAAAAATTGAAATAAGTAGTTGATGAGACCATATCTCAATGGAATCAGCTGATAACACAGGTAAAAACCAACTGAAGATTAGGTGCGCAGATTATTGCTCATCTTTGACGAACAGTTTAAATTATAAAACTCGCTTGCAGACTTAATTTGTTGTTTCAGACATGGATATTGTGATTGCTTATAGGCAATGGCAAATATATTTAATAATTTGTAAATTGTGTGTATAGATCACCTTAAATTCAAAACCTAAAGCACGAGACTAGGAAGCAAACTTATGTGGAGGTCGGCATAACTTGTAAACCTTAACGGTTGAAAATGGGTCTGAGACTTGAATTGATTGACACTGCAATTTATTTGAAGGACTTAAATCAATCGAGTATAAACGATTATTTTTTTGTGTGAAGAAATCATAAATCAATATTAATAATAAAGATTCATAAAGAAACCGATCACAACGTTTGCTTTTTAGAATTTAAAAAGAAAAAGAACGAAGTGACAACATACAAAAAAGCTTGACAACAACTAGAAAACATAATGAAAACAAAAAAAACCTGAATATAACAAAGTTGTAAAATACGAAAGCCCTTTTTTATGTGTGTACTGGAATCAATACCTTAACCAAAAAAATAAATAAAAGAAAATAAGCAACCAGGTCATGGCGTTTAACATTCCATCAGTTAGTGTAACTGAAACAAAACAGAATATAGTTCATAGTATAGGAAAGTAGAGAGACAGTTTAAAACATTGTTGAACATTAAAATATAATTATATTCAGAGCATAAAACGAGAATGTGTAGACAAAGTTTGAGTTTGTAACAAACAATAATTAGAGATTAAGTCAATCAATCAAATTGCAAATAAGACTTCACTTTGTGTTTATAAGGTAATAAAAACCCAGTATCTTCCTATTCAAACTTCTAACGCCAGCCAATAGCTTCACTTTGTGATGAATTATCACTTGGTTCATCTTGGGGGAACTTTGATCAGTCTTGGTGCATGTTCATTCATACTCCTTATGTAATTTAGTAGCCGTCTGGAACCTTGGTTAACGGATAACGCATTTTGCGCCTGAAGCGAAAGACACTGTGCTGGAATCTCAGTGTAGCGAAAACTCTTGGATCCATGTGCATCCAACTGAGTCTCAAATAGAACGAAACGTTAGACCTGGATTCCACTGCTAGCTATATATTTCACCTATTCTATAAGCGTGTGTGTCAAATGATTACACGGGGATGATCCGCACATATACCATCATGACGCAGTCAAGCTCATCAACAACAAGATAACTACAGTCAGTACAAATTTAAATATTTATGATAGCGAGAAATATGTTTTACGACAAGATGTAACAGGATGCTGAACTACTAAGATAATGTATGAATCAAATAAAGACCAATGATAAATCGACTACTAATCATGTTCCAATAAATAAGGGTTCCTTGATTTATCAAAATGAATATATTGCTAAATTAGATAGCAACACACCTAACGCAAATGAGATACCTGATTTCCTTGGTGATAGTAAGCATGAACAGACCATAATTTAAAGTAAAATGTTTTTAAAAAATTGAAATAAGTAGTTGATGAGACCATATCTCAATGGAATCAGCTGATAACACAGGTAAAAACCAACTGAAGATTAGGTGCGCAGATTATTGCTCATCTTTGACGAACAGTTTAAATTATAAAACTCGCTTGCAGACTTAATTTGTTGTTTCAGACATGGATATTGTGATTGCTTATAGGCAATGGCAAATATATTTAATAATTTGTAAATTGTGTGTATAGATCACCTTAAATTCAAAACCTAAAGCACGAGACTAGGAAGCAAACTTATGTGGAGGTCGGCATAACTTGTAAACCTTAACGGTTGAAAATGGGTCTGAGACTTGAATTGATTGACACTGCAATTTATTTGAAGGACTTAAATCAATCGAGTATAAACGATTATTTTTTTTGTGTGAAGAAATCATAAATCAATATTAATAATAAAGATTCATAAAGAAACCGATCACAACGTTTGCTTTTTAGAATTTAAAAAGAAAACGAACGAAGTGACAACATACAAAAAAGCTTGACAACAACTAGAAAACATAATGAAAACAAAAAAAACCTGAATATAACAAAGTTGTAAAATACGAAAGCCCTTTTTTATGTGTGTACTGGAATCAATACCTTAACCAAAAAAATAAATAAAAGAAAATAAGCAACCAGGTCATGGCGTTTAACATTCCATCAGTTAGTGTAACTGAAACAAAACAGAATATAGTTCATAGTATAGGAAAGTAGAGAGACAGTTTAAAACATTGTTGAACATTAAAATATAATTATATTCAGAGCATAAAACGAGAATGTGTAGACAAAGTTTGAGTTTGTAACAAACAATAATTAGAGATTAAGTCAATCAATCAAATTGCAAATAAGACTTCACTTTGTGTTTATAAGGTAATAAAAACTCAATAAGATGTTTAGATATGCAAACGATTTGTAAATTATTTTTCAGAGTAATCCGTTATTCAACTGTCACAGATTTCGCCAAATTTCGAGGGCAATCAACCTATTTACAAATTAGTAAAAAAAAACAATATATAAATTTAATAAGAGGATTACAGAACTATTATAAATACATTTTGATATATTTCGATAATGTAATAACAAGAGGAAGATTATGAGAACTATGTAATGATATATTAACGCAATACATTTCGAACAACCTGATCACAAATTATATACTTGTCAAGAACATTTATATATAAAAATAAAAGGTCAACTAGACCGAAAATAGGGTAAGAGGAGACAAGGATCATAATATTATGAACACAAATTGAATCCAACTGGATAATAAGCCAATATTACCAGGG